CGGCTGGCCCCACAGGATTCGCTCCCGATCTACCTGCCCAGCCAGTCGTCACTCTCGCTGGAACCCCAGGACTCGCTCCCGGTATGTTGTCCCAGCTGCTTTCCCGCGGGTGATTTCGCCCATCACGGGCCGTTTCCCGGGAAAACGCCCCGCCGCCCCCAGGCGGCAGAGCCTCTCTCTGGCTTGGGACGGCAGCACCGCCGCCCCTACTGGCATCGCCCGCCACGGCGTCACCAGGCTCCTTCCTCTTCAACTCCATCACTACGCTCATCAGCTGCGATAACTGGCCCTCCAGCCTCGCAATCACCGGATCCTCGGCGTGTTGCTTTTGCGTGGCTGAGGTCTCTTCCCCCAGCCCTTCGACGGAACCGCTGTCCGACGCAGACATGACCCGATGCGGCTATCCCTCGAGGGACAATCAACTCTAGAGTGTTTGTCGGCCGTACTCCGCGTACTTATCGGGTATTGTTTGTGTAGTGTATTAACTTCAGACGGTGAGGCAACGCCCGTACCCAGGGCGCTGTCGTGCTCAGAAAAGAGGAGTGGCAGCAGGGCTGCTGCACACAACAAAAGGGGGCCCCGGTGCATCATCACCGTACCCCTACCTAAAAGGTTTTACACCATCTGCGTCACACTTGTACGTACGGCTAACATATCCAAACCATGTCCGTAGACCCACGAACAGGTTCAATCTTGGTACTTCACAACGCAAGCAGAGACAAGGCCATCTGGCACAGAAAAAGAGAGAAAAAAAGAAAAAATAAAAAAAGGAGAAAAAAATAAAAATGGAAACCGTAAGGAGAGAAAATAAATGAAAATAAAATGAAAAAGGGCGAGGACAAAGAGGGACCAGGCCGAAAATAACAGGAAGTATGAGGCAGGACAAGGCACACGGTGGAGAGACCACTAACGAACAAGCAAACACGCAAACATGGCCACCACCCAGCGATACATTGAAATGCTGCTCTGTGAGAGCCCGAGAAGACCGGAATAGAGCGCTCACAGAAGCCGAAAGAAGCGAAATGAGAAATGAAGCGTTCTCAGAGAAACTTAAATTGTAAGAAGACTAAAGAAGACTATGCAATCCATCAGCACCCTCGACAGCAGTGCCTTGGACGGCATGTTTTTTGAGTTGCGGTCCACATCAGCTTGCCATTTTTTCACGCTTTATTTTCCACCTTACAACAGCTACACCAGCATCCACCGCCGTTTTTTTGCATGCGGGACACCAGATGATGATGGTGCCGATGCCTGTATGGATTGAACTGGTAGCATGCAGCACCTACCTGTCTGTGGCAGCCACATGCCCGAGGTTGATCACACACATCCCACCACGTCCTGAATTGCTACCGAAGAGCCCGTGCCAATTTCCAAAGCTCGGCACCACAGAGAGTGGCGGTGCCGAAAATGGTGGTGTGGGAACAACGTCTGGCTGGGTTTACGAATCCTCTTCGTCTTAGAAAACTCGAGCTTTGTAAATCGATACGGGTTGTGTGGTCACCGACGGTAGAAGACCTGTGTGCATACTACACGCCATCATACTTGCGTTCCATACCGATTTGGCCTTTCGGTGGTTTCCCTGCACAGAGTGACACAGCAGCATCTGTAATGCTGTTCCCCGCGAGCTGTGTGTATCCCGCCGTGTCTTGTGTGGCGGCTGATAGAGGCCACGGGGCGATAGGACCCGCGGAAGCTGGGGCGGCGAAAGTCGGCAGAGCACGGATGCGAGAAAAAACACCCCACCAAAAAAAAAGAGAGGCTCTGGTTTCACATGTTATTCCGGTGGCACAGCTTTGTTTCAAGGTGACCCCTCCCCACACACCGAAGCAACAGAAAACACAAAGGTATCCGCCACGAGCTGTGTCCATGCGACGTATTGTGTGGTGATTGATACAGACCAGGAGGATGTAGGACGCTCAGAAAATGCGAGCCCGAGAGCGTGGGACAGCCTGAAAAAAACCCGCCGCGTCTGTGACGGGATCAGGCCAAGATTTGCCAACAATCCCTCTCCACATACAGGAGCACAGCAATGGCAATGGCATCCGCCACAAGCTCTGTGTATGGCTCTCTACCCCCGCCACTGCTGTCTTGCCACTCCCGGCGGTGTTGCGTGTTTCAGCGAGTGCTTCCTCTGTTTCTCCACGGTATGAACCAGGCAACCGTGCGCGTGTGTGTATGTGAGATATTCAGATATTCGAATCGTTGTTTCTCCATTATCTTCGTAACTCCTGTGGATGGGGTTGAGTATCTCCTGTGGTTTTCGGGTACAAATGCCTGTGGAGCACGACCATCTGCTGTCGGAGCACGACCAAACCGGTGTGGTGAAGAGCACCCTAATTTTCTTCTGCGTCACAAGCCAGCAGATCGTCAATCGGTGCTCCATAGACCTCTTGCTGGTCGAAAATGATGGAAAATTCAGGCGGTCGCTTTTAGAAACTTGGACCCCTGGTAGATAGAACCTGTTTCGTCACAGGAGGCGCATACATCGCTGCGATCTTGGCAGCACCCAGCAGAGAAGGAGCTGTGTGGGACATGGAAGCAACACGCCCTCGCACTGCTGCTGCTGCTGCTGTTCGCGGCACAGCCGTAGCAAGCAGCAGCAGCTAGCTCGTAGGTTGTAGCGGCAGAAACGAAGCGGCAACTTGCATCATGATCGCAGATACAGACGCAAACCAACCCGCAAGAACAAGAGAGGTTGCCACACTGACGCATTGGCACTATAGTATACTGTACTCGCCTGCCCACCATCAATCAACAAAAGCAACCAAACTTCGACGGTAAGCAGCGCACATGGGCGACTTCGTGAACGCCATGACCGCTTTTCAGTGCTCTCGACATGTTACGCAAATGTATTTCGTACTGCCGACACGCCCCCTCTGCGCACTCCGCACCGTTTGTTTACTGTAGTTTTGACACTCTAAAGACCTTTACCGCAGCCGCCGTGAGGTAAGGTGCATTTTTTGAATTTTTTCACCCTCGTCAGGTAGGACAATGATACAGCAGCAGCAGTAGTCTCTCTTCTTCGCGCGCTCTCTCTCTCTCTTCTGGTGCCGTGGATTAATACGCTCACAAGGAAGAAACGTAGCGACGGTAGCCCCTGACACATAGGCTACTCAGCGAAAACGAAAGAAGTGTTGCAGCAAGCACCCGCGACACACACGGTCAATTACCGTATACCTGCGTGGTCGCCAACGAACGATGCGTGGCAGCCGCAGTGTATGAGGTGCATACAGCCACTTTCACTCAAAAGAAAGGAAGAGACATTACACCACCAGCCCACGACATGGCGCTTGCATGTACAACGCAAATCTGTGCCAGGAGAAATGCCAAGAAGCAAGGTAAAACCGTGCGGTAGCAGTTGCATACTGTAGCTGCGGGCCTAAGCGAAAAAAACGAGAGCGTACACATGTTCACGAGAGAGTAAGGTAGCAATATAATTGCGTTCACAGTTTTTCCATTCCGAGGAACAGTCACAAAATGGTCTTGGTGCAATCATTCCTGTGAAAATGATGCGTTTACACAACGGTGCACGAAAAAACGTTATCCCGCGCACCTAGGTACCCCCCCACCGCCAGGCCCATTTGCGAAAATATTATTTCTTCCCCATGATTTGTGTTTTTTTTTTCATCTTATGCATGCAATAGCGCACGTCGAACCTGGTTAACCTGTCGTACTTGATGAAACACTGTGTGGCACAATACCATGCTTAAAAATAAGATCGAACGTGTTGTTGGAGAATTCACACGACAAACCATCCACCATACACGCCACATCGTCGATTGAATTCGATTGGAAACTAAACCCCGGAGTAGCATTACCCCTCTACACGCGTGAACGAAGGAATCCCAAGGCTTGACGGAAAACGAGGAACGTAAGCATGTACAGTAGGAGGAGGAGCTCGCAAAACTCCTACCGTTCGCCTATATACTACCGTTCCGTCTACAATTTTCCGACATCCATTCTCGCACGCAACACTACGCCGCCAACAAGAAGCCGTTTCGGGATGCGTGTACGCCTCCTCGAGCTTACTTCCTCCTCCTCCTCCTCCTCCTCCTCCTCCTCCTCCTCCTCCTCCTCCTCCTCCTCCTGCTGCGCCGCAACGGCCTGGGCTAGCCCTACGAGGCCCCCTGAGGATGCCCTGATCATGCTCTCCCTCTCGTCGTCTAGGTGTGGTATACGCAGAACAGCGTGGCGCCGAGCGCGTACGAGCTGAGCGCAGATGGCTTGGGGCACGCAGATGCACAACTACCCCTTATATATTACATGGTGCCATTTTTCTGTATATCGACATTATTTTTGTCTTGTTTTATACTGTATATGGTTTTGTATGGCGTTTGGGGGGTTGGGATGATCCACAAAAAGAAATTGGGTACATTTGGTATTGGTGTCGTAGAAAAGACTATCGTGTACCGTTGGTACACACGTCACTCATTTTGGATTGCTTTTGCTAATTCCTGACTAGGTCTTAGCCTGTCTGGCAGAGAAGTACGATGGTCCCCAACAGGTAAAGGTATTCTTAATCCACAAACACCGGCGTCACATGCCAACTTACCGCGCTACCTGATATCGGATCGTTGCCTTTACCTAGGCACCAACACCAGGAGGTCGTGGTGGTGACGTCACCAGGAAGAGGCGGGGGCGAGAAACATGGCGCGACACGCCAACTCCTCCACATTTGCTGCTGCTACTGCTGCTGCTGTCATCATTTTGAGCTTCCTCCGTGGTGGTACTGCTCAGTACGACAGCTGCACCAACGGCACGGTCGGCGATATCGGCGACGGGCACTGTGATGCGGCCAACAACGTCGCCTCGTGCGGCTACGACGGGGGGGATTGTTGTTCGTGTACCTGCATTGACGGTCCTGTTCACCTCTGCGCCGACAGCGAGTTCGACTGCGTGTTTCCCGAATGCGTCGACCCAGCAGTCACCTCCGAAGATACAGTCTGCATTGAGGAGTGGCAAGGCAATGGTGGGTGTGAAGACATCAACAACACCCCTTCATGCAGTTACGACGGGGGCGACGTGAGTGTGCCTTGATTTCTGGTTGGTTGTCCTCCGTAGCTGGGTGGTGCAGGGTGGTGCACACAATGCCTACAATGCATACAGTATGCACGACACGTTTAGGCTTGATTTATGGCGGCTGTTGAAAGTCAACGTGGGCAACGTGTCAACTACGCGTACGAACAACCTGCGAGCAGATGCAAACTTGGGTCTAGTACAATGTCTACGTGACCGATGGACCTTTCATTTTTTCACCCCTCCCCCCCCCCCGGTGTTTGCCATCGGGGTTTGGTTTTCGTCGCTTGGCAACGACGTTGTAAAACAAGCCCACCCCTCGGTGTTTGCCATCGGGATTGGGTTTTCGTCGCTTGGCAACGACGTTGTAAAACAAGCCATTTCACTTCGTGAACTCGGCAACCAGGTTACCGTTTTTTTTTTTACCTCTGTTTTTTTTTTTGGCGGCAACCATAATGGTGGTCGAGTAGATCATGTTGCGCGGGGCGGAGAAACCTCACTCCGCGCAAGGGGGATGATCGCACCACGTTGTGTTAAAATGGTCAATCATCCTCAAGGCAGTTACACAATGCTTCTAACTGTCTCTGGAAGTGAAAGCACCAGAAAATAAATTAAGTCATACGCAGCTGTCATCCATACGCAAGGAAGTACGCACAAGATGCCGAACACCCTTAGCAGGATGCAGCGCACCCTTCATGCGACTCGCAGAATATCTCACGGCGCTTCGCGCTTGGTGATGTGAGAGCCTGGTCCGGTGAGAACCTGGCGTGCTCCGTCCCGGCTTTGTAGGGATGCGAGGTCAATGGTCTAACGACTACGGCATGCCGACTATGAGTACACCCCCCCGCCCCCGTCCCTTCCTCTGTCTTCTTGGCTAGAAAAAATCAGTATCATGACCGGTTAACCCTCAATTCTCTTCCCACCACCGCCCCCCGCTTTTTCCTCCTCCCCTCCCTCCTTCCTTCCCTCCCTTCCACCTCCTTCTTCTGTTAGTGCTGCGAGTGCTCCTGTGTCGACGCACCTGACTTTCCTTGTGGTACCTATGGGTCGTTCGACTGTCGCGACCCGGCTTGCTTTAACCCCGCTCTTGTCGCCGAGTTTCCCGACTGCACTGGCGATTGGTTCAAGCTTGGTGACGGCACGTGCAATCCTGACAACAACATCGCTTCGTGTGGCTACGACGGGGGCGATGTGAGGTGGTCTTCAAGTGCTTGTAAAGATCTCCTGTCAATCACACGAAACGCTTACAACGTGGTACGCCTTTGCGGCTGTAGAAATCCAACATGAAAGACATTTCCTGTGTCACCATGGGACAGCACATGGGATAGCGCTTAACCTACCTTTGCGAAGCAGCGGGCCAGCCACGAGGTATTCCCTCTCCATTTCGGTTTGATACAATGCCGCTGTGGCCAATGGACCCACCTCCCCTCCCTCCCCTCCCTCGCTTCCCCCCGTCCCTCCATCGCGTTTTATTTTTTCGTGCCGGTGGCAAAACTTGACCCGAAGTGCTGTTTGTGTAGTTGCACAGGTGGTGTCTGTCATGGTGGCGACCTCGACTGCATAGATCCTGGCACCCACAAAGAGTTGTACGAGTGCGAGGCAACGCCGACCACCACCGAGCCTTGCCCTGCTGATTCGGAGTGGAACTGGGTGGTGGACGACTCTGCGCAGGCACTAGCACTGGCGGAAGCCGTCAACTGCTCCGGAGGCTGGTTCGAGGTGGAATGGGTGGGAAATGTCGTCGTCAATAAGACCATCTACGTCGCCGATGGGACGGTTCTAACCATAACCGGGGCCGCAGGCTCGAACGCAGCGCTGGACGGGAACTCCGCGACGAGGCTGTTCACGGTCGTCGACGCTTCTCTGCACGTGCGCGGCGTCAACATCAGCCACGGCGCTAGCATCTCCGGCGGTGCGATCGCCGCGGGAGGAGGGTCCACCCTGACGTTCAACAAAACAAACTTCATCGGGAACGTCGCTTCGGGTAACGGTGGGGCCGTGTACGTGTCGGATGGATCTTTCGTGTCGTGCGCTGACGGGACCACCTTCGTCGAGAACGAGGCGGGAACCGACGGCGGCGCCATGTTCGTAACCGACGGCTCGGCGGTCTCGTGCGGTGGCTGGTGGCTTGGCAACACGGCAGCCGCTCGAGGGGGCGCGGTGCGGCTTCAGCACGGGTCAAGCGCGTCGTGGAGCGAGGACACCATGTTCGCCTACAACACGGCCGGAGGGTTAGGTGGCGCCTTGAGCCTGGTGAACTTCTCCAGCGTATCCTGGGACGCCGCGACCGGTTTCCACTACAACAGCGCTGAGTTCATCGGCGGCGGTGTGTCTGCCAGCACAAACTGCAGCTTGTCATGGAACGCGCCGACGGTTTTCTACTTCAACAGTGCCGGGCTCTTCGGCGGTGCCGTGTACGTTCAGGACTACTCGAATGCTTCGTGGAGTGGGGAGAGCATCGTGTTTGATGGAAACCAAGCAGGGTCGGAGGGAGGGGCCGTGATGATATCCGCGAATACCCATGTCTCCTGTTCTGGAGAGACGATCAGCACGTTTACCGGGAACTCGGCTCCGCTCGGGGGCGCTTTGGTTGTGGACGCGGGGTCCGTCGCGTCCTTTGGCGGCACCTCCTTGTTTGAAGGCAACGACGCTCTCGGCGACCCAGAAGCAAATGCCACCGGCTGGGGCGGTGCTGCCCTCGTGCGTGCGGCGACTGTCACGTGGGGTGGGGCGGTAACTTTCGTCGCAAACACGGCTGAGTTCGGAGGCGCCATGTTTGTTGCGGACTCTAGGATATCGTGGAGTGAGGAGGCTACGCTAGCGCGCAACAATGCAACCGAGTCCGGCGGCGCTATCTACGCTTCATCGTCTGACGTGTCGTGGAGCGGCGTGAAAAACACCGTGTTCGACGGAAACCAGGCTGCATATTCAGGAGGGGGCATGGCGACCCTCATGAGCACTACTGTGTCCTGCACTGGGGAAACGACCAGCACGTTTTCCGGCAATTCGGCTGCCTTCGGTGGTGGTTTGGCCGTTATCGACGGGTCCATCCTGTCCTTCGGGGGACACTCTTACTTTATGGACAACGCCGCTGTTCACAACTTCACGAACAACTCCACGACAGGACACGGTGGTGCCATGTACGTGAGTGGTGCCACCGTCTCGTGGATTGGGGAGACAGAGTTTTCCAACAATTCGGCCTTGACATATGGTGGTGCCATGTTTGTGATTGATTCCACCGCCTCGTGGATTGGGGAGACAGGGTTTTTCAACAATTCGGCCTCCAAATATGGTGGTGCCATGTATGTGGTTGATTCCACGGCCTCGTGGATTGGGGAGACAGGGTTTTTCAGCAATTCGGCCGTGGCTTTTGGGAACGCGACCGCGGCACTTGGGGGCGCCATCACCGTAGGCAACTCGACGGCTTCGTGGGATGGAAACACGACGCTATCGTACAACCGAGTCGAACAAGTTGACGAAAGCGACCCAAGCAGCGGCGGCGCTTTGTATTTGTTTTCTGGCTCCAATGCGACTTGGGGTGGAGGAACGACCTTGTTTGAGGGCAACGTCGCGGCCTTCGGTAGTGCAGTTCGAATGGCGTCTTCCAGCAGCGCGTCGTGGAGGGGACTGACAAAATTCGTCGGGAATTCCGCGGTCACTTGGGGCACGCTCTTCTTGGACGAGGTGGATGTGTCTTTGGCCGGGGAGACGGAGTTCTCCGGCAACACGGCTCAAAGCGGAGGGGTCATGTTCATTCGCAACGCGTCTACCGCGAGCTGGACCGGCGTTACCAATTTCACATCGAATCAAGCGTTCTTCGACGGTGGTGCAATTGTGTCCCCTCAACTGGACTCCGAATACAACCCGAGTGAGTCCACCCTAAACTTCAACGGAACCACGACCTTCTTCAACAATAGGTGCGGAGGGAACGGGGGCGGCATGGCTCTGTACGGAGGGTGCGCTTTGGTCATCGACACGGAAATGGGTATCAGCTTCATCGAGAACACAGCCGCTGTCTCGGGAGGAGCCGTATTTGTATCCTCCGCTGGTACCGGTCTCGCCTTCCCCACCACCAGTTTTGTGTCCAACTCGGCTCAGATTGGGGGTGCTGTGGCCACGTTTGGTTCCGGAGGCTCGAAAGGCGTCGAAGATATCGAGCCCCCGAACCCGACAACATTCGACCGGTGTCGGTTCGTCGGCAACCGGGCAACGGCAACGGGCGGGGCTATTGATACCGCGGCTGGGTATGATTTTTTCGTCGACACCACGTTTGAAGACAACGCGGCAGGGACAGGGGGGGCTTTGAGGCTGGCGGGCACGGCTTCCATAATAAATTGCTCGTTTGTGGAGAACTACTCCAATGACGGAGGAGGGGCAGCCGTGTCCAACATCGGCATCGTTTCGAGCGCGGAAAAAATCAATTTCAGCGGGAACGGCTTTGACTGCCCCACGGGCATGTTCTTGGCCTACAACGAAGTGAGTAACATGCTGCCGAATCCCTGGATTGTTCGCACTCAAAGTCAATAGGTTCATGCACCTTCGGTCGGCAGAAACCTCTTTGGGTTGAAAATTGTTCACCATTTGTCCCTGCACCTTGTCCGACATGCAGGTGCCATGTCTGTCTGTGCTCCGAGCTCACATCCCTTCTCATAACCGCGATGTTGCGCTCCGATGAGTGTGTCTGATTTTCGTATCGTTCTGTGTTGGTGGACGAACTAAGAGGCACCATTGTCTACACTGTAGATGCTACTTCAGCTGTGACCGCACCAACTTCATTTTTGAGAGACGTGTAGATCGTGTATCGTTGCAGTGCAGCGCAAACGGAAGCTGCATGTTACAGAGTAGTCTCGCCGTGAACCTTCCTCAGTTTTATGGCGCCTAGAAAGCGCGCTTGTTTCGCCTGTTGGCATCAACCAAATGCCCGCCTCGGTACTTTTCGCTTTTGGTCGCTGCTGTTCCAGTCGGACGATCTTTTTGAGACCGTTTGCGACGGATGTCAGACTACGTGCGATGGGTGTGCCTTCGCTGAGCCGCTCCTGGTGCCCATGTGTAGGGACCTTCTAGAACATTCGACGAGCCCCGATGGAAAACTCACCCTTGAAGCGCTGTCAATACAGCGGGGGTATTGGCGAGCCACCACGACCAGCGAAGAAGTTCTTGCGTGCTACCATCCCGAAGCCTGTCTTGGAGGGGTGACGGGCACAGCTGGCTACTGCCTTGAGGGCTACCAAGGGCCATGTAAGAGACAGGACCTACCAGAACGACGGTTTGGTTGTTGACGACGAGCAATGTGTGTAGGCTGTTTACTCCTGGGCTTTTGAATACATCTCGTTTTCGCGGGCACAAGGAATCTTGACCAGCGGCTCGCCCACACCACAATGTGCCGCAGGTTTGTGGCGCCTGCTTTCTCGAGAAGTATGAAGTTTTGGTTTGGCCCGCTCATCCCGTTCTTTGTTTGACCCGACTATCCCACCCTTGTCGTCCCATCATGCGTTCCAAGCAATGTGGCTAAGAATTCAATCCATGACAAACTCTTAGGTCCCAAATGGGGACGTTTCGACGAATAATTCCCTCATTTGTAAGCCGTCATGGACTAATATTTTGTCCAGCTCGTTTCTTCGCAAGTTGCTGACCATCATGGCCTATACGCCGGCATATAATTTGAATGCTCATTTGCGCGCCCCTCCCGCCCCCCCGCCCCCCCGCCCCCGGTGTTTGCCATCGGGGTTGGGTTTTCGTCGCTTGGCAACGACGTTGTAAAACAAGCCAAGTCACTTCGTGAACTCGGCAACCAGGTTACCGTTTTTTTTTTTTACCTCTGTTTTCTTTTTGGCGGTAACCATGGTGGTCGAGTAGATCATGTTGTGCGGGGTGGAGAACCCTCAATCCGCGCAAAGGGGGATGATCGCACCACGTTGTGTTAAAATGGTCAAGCATCCTCGAGGCAGTTACACAATGCTTAGAACTGTCTCTGGAAGTGACAGCACCAGAAATAAATTAAGTCATACGCAGCTGTCATTCGTACGCAAGGAAGTACGCACAAGATGCCGAACACCCTTAGCAGGATGCAGCGCACCCTTCATGCGACTCGCCGAATACCTCAGGGCGCTTCGCGCTTGGTGATGTGAGAGCCTGGTCCGGTGAGAACCTGGCGTGCTCCGTCCCGGCTTTGTAGGGATGCGAGGTCAATGGTCTAACGACTACGGCATGCACGACAGTGAGTACACCCCCCCTTCCCGTTGTCGCTGTCGCTTCGAAGCAGATTGCGCCGTTTGCAGCCATGGGTTCTCGGCACAATTTGGATTCACCTGCCGTGAGTGCTCTGACAGCGCCGGTGGTATAGTCCTCGCGGTTGCTCTTGCTGTGGCGGGCATTTTTGCGGCCGTTGTCGTCGTGTCGTACGTGACTTCGGGAAAGAGGAACGGAAGGGGACAAGGGATTGTCGAGCGCGTGGCGCTTTATATCCCGCTTCAATCTGTGAAGATCGTCGTCGTGGCCTGGCAGGTCGTGACACAGGTGGGCGTCGCACAGGCTGAACACATCGGTCGGTCGGCTTCGCGACCATCCGTGTCTGTGTGAAGATGAAGGAGTTACCAACCTTGTTCGGACGTGTGGCCCCTACCTCCACAACCAGCTCCCTGTACGAAGACACATCCCCCAACATAGTCCTTACGCTGTGTCGCTTGACTAATCGTGCTCGTTCGTTTTTTGTCGTTCTTGCGCTGCCTATTGTAGTTCACTGTCGTGGCAAACATCACCTACCCGGACGTGTACCAAACCTTCCTGGATGGCTTGAAATTGTTCAACTTCGACCTCGGCTGGATTCTCTCTGCCGGTTGTGTGACGGACGTCGATTTCCACGACCGACTGCTGATGTCCACCATTGGCCCCATCATTGCGGTGATGGTTCTGGCTTGCACTTACGCCGCCGCCACCCGCATCCACCGCGGAGCCACCGACACCACCCTGCAAAACGTCTGGGACAAGCACGTGCTCGTGGTGCTGCTGCTGTCGTTTTTCGTGTACTCTAGCGTCAGTAGCACGTTGTTCAGGACGTTCGCGTGCGAGACCCTGGGAGACGGCAAGAACTACCTGCGTGCGGACTACCGCATCGAGTGCGACTCCTCCAGGCACAAGGGGTTCGAGGTGTACGCAGGCATCATGATGCTGGTGTATACGGTAGGCATCCCTGGTCTGTACGGCTTCCTCCTCTACAGAGACCGCGACTTTCTCAAGGAGAGAGACACCTGTCAAGAGCCCCCTCCTTCTCGCGTCACTTCCACCTCCGACCTGTGGAAGCCATACAGGCCGTCCGTGTTCTACTACGAAGTGATCGAGTGCGGGCGGCGTGTTTTGCTGGCCGGCGTGGTCGTTTTCATCTACCCGAACTCCGGCGCTCAGATCGCGATAACGCTGGTGATCGCGTTCGTCTTCGTTCTGATTTCAGAGAGCCTGTCCCCGTACGCGTCGAGGTGGGACACCTGGATCAGTCGCACGGGACACGTGGTCGTCGTTACTTCGATGTACGTCGCACTTCTGCTCAAGGTGGACATATCAGACGAGCGGGCGAGCAGTCAGAGGGTGTTCGAGGCCCTCCTTGTCGCCGTCCACGTGGCAATGGTGGTGATGGTGGTGGTGGAAACGTTCGTGCTAGCGTGTGCGTTGAGAGCGGGGCAGCGGGAAAGCCCGTGGCCAAGGCTACGCAGCAGGGGCAAGAAGACGAGCGGAAACACGGGCGAGGAAGAGGAAGAGGCACACTGGGAACGGGAAAATCCTTTTGCTGACCTCATGCAGTCGACGGGAAGGGACAAGCCTGCTAAGATTGGTTGATACGGAGGAGGCGGGGGCGGAGGAAACCTAGTCGTTGATCGCTGGTGCAAAGTTCAGTTGTCCAATGAGTTTTATCAATTGAAGCCATGCCAGAGAAGATAGAGGAACATGAAAGAACAGCGGGGAGGCAGGAAAACTGTAGGATACACGCATGCATGACCATCTCCATGGTGAGTTGACGCCAGAGCGCGAAATAAACGCCGTCATCGCGGGTGGCTTGAGTTTTTTTACACAGAAGAGACGCTACCTCACGAGCAAGTATGGCTGCGTTTCCGTTGGATGGCAGTCTTGGGTATTAGATGGAAGAATACGTTAATGACCTGTTTGATATTCCCCAGCTACGCATGAACTGCATAAACAAGCTGTCGTTGAGCGGAGTTGTTATCCTGAGGAAAATCGTGGAATACGTCGTCTGTTGGGGGATAAATGTTGCAAGCTTGTGTTTCGTAGGGTACACTTTTGCTAAACGAAAACTCAGGATATTTGGTAAAATTGTTTGATTGCTCCAAATTATTGTACTTCTGGTATGGTTGAATAAAAGTGATACGCTTGTCTCAACTAGTTGGTTATACCGTTCCCAAGCTCTAGCTTGGGTCTCAGTCGATCAAAAGTCTTTTTTTTCCGTCTGTGGAGTTTTCAGTAGCATAGCGGACCCCTTGCCCGACCGGGTCGAAAAGGCCGATCTCAGCCCACACTGCGAACCTCCGAGAACTACCAGCAGTTCTGGGTAGCTGAGACGATTTCAAGACCTCTCACAGCCGTTTGAGCAGCTATCGCTTGCTGTGGGGCGATAACCAGTTTCTCCGTCGACAAGAAGATCTGCGTTACATCGTCACCTCGGAACGACCAGACAGATTGGTTGACTTGTCGTTGAGGGTCCTCTTTTTATAGATCTTTTTGTATAGTCTAAGAGTCGTCTTCATTTTTTTCTTTTGTGATTTTCTTCCTTAGTCTATAGTGACCGTTGTGCACATGCGGTGGCTGCTGTTATGCTCGGAAGATGCTGCAAAGGTCATAAGGTTATCGTCTCTGTCGCTTGGGCTGCACGCCGTGCTCGCGTAGGAGATGCGCATTCCTCATTTTTTCTCTGTGCCGATATCCATGAAGAAAAGCAACGGCAGCACGGTTGAAGATACAGACAACAGAGACGGTCCGCCATAGTTTTTTTTTTCTTCCCTTACATGCATGGATGGGTGGTAAAGCATCGCAAGCGTGTTGCTGCCTTACCTTTAGTGTGCTGCGTAGTCGTAATTTGAGCGATAAGGGGTAGATGGCAGGACAATCTTATTTGCGTAGTGAGGTTTGACAACTGGTCGTTCGTGGAACGGTGCGCGTCTATCGCGACGGCAAGCGTATTGAGAAAATAGTTCGTCCGTGGTGCTTCTCGTCATCATTTTCTATTTCGTTGTCACTTCATACTTCATACCACAAGTGATGAAAGAGAGTCTCCACAGTTAGTTCGGAAACGGCGACTATATTTGGTTTGTTGCGTTTGTTGTTGCTGAGCGCACATCGGATGTCGCCGTTCGTTACAGCCTGCGGTGGGCCACAGGGACGAGAGTGAGTGTCTTCGGTTAGGGTTAGGGTTAGGGTTAGGGTCTCGAGAGTTAATTAATGCCTTCTCTACGCTTTCTTCTGTTGGTCTACGTAGTAGTAGCACCTGTCTCTCTCTCGCCTATTATCGCCGTTGGGGTCCCAACAACATCGAACGTCAACCGCAATCGTTTTGCTTCTCTTGCTGAGTAAGAAGAGGCTATTTGTGTAGTACGTACCCGGCTGCTGTATGTGAGGCGATGGGCGCTGCCTCTTTACTTGAAGCAACGGGGGCATGGCCCCTATACTGTTTGCTGCATGCTGTGCTATGTGACAGCTTCCAGCGGTTCAGAGCGGCGACGGTGGTTTTCGTATGCTCTCTTTTGCCACCTCCCTAAAGCCTGTCGCGTCTGGCTCACTTGTCTTTGTCGTCCCTTCTTTTTTTTTTTTTTCTTAATATGACACCACGAAACCATCTCCATCATAGAAAAGAGTTTGAGACAGATTAGCAATGGATTCATAGCGTCAGAAAAGTACCTGTATGTCTACGATTTCCCAGACAGCATATAGGGACATCTCCCCTGCGGGTAACAGGCTCAACAAGACAGTTTGGTGGTTGTCTTGTGTGTCTCATATATGTTATGTTGGGAAGGTGCAGATGATATGTGTTAGGTACTGGTCGGGCGTTTTGTGTGTGTGTTTTTTTTTCTTTTTTTTCTTAACATAGTCTATATTTTATTTTTTTTTCAGCTTGCTTTTTGGGGTCCGCCGGTCATCCCCCCACCACCCATTAGTTCAGTTTTAAATGTTGTTGTTGTTGTTGTTGACGACGATACCCGTCGAGATGCCATACACAATGAATTCATTGCTAATCTGTCTCAGACTCTTTTCTATGATGGAGATGGATTCGTTGTGTCATATTAAGAAGAATAAAAAAAAAAGCATCCTGTCGTTACTCTATCGATGCGATACCTCACACCCACCCCTACTCACGCCGACGCAGACACAGACAGGCAGACTCAGCTCCTTCGCCTGTGCTGTATCTGTTGTTCGTGCGTGCTGAAAAATGGTACATACCCCAGCAGCTTACAGCAGCAGGAGCTGCTTTTTGCTTGTTTGTACAGCTTTTTTTCCTGCAGGGATGGCTCTTGGTGTGCGGCAAGTTGCATTGTTTGTTTGTTGTTGATGCGGACGAGAGGACGAGAGTGGTAGGCAAAAGCAGTACGTACCGTGTTAAAGGGACAGACAGAGTGCCTACCGTGTGTACAAGGGACAGACAGTGTGTATGTAGACGTTGCATTTCGTGTTTCCCGAGGATCGGATGTATGTGTTGTTTTTTTATTGCGTACCCGCGTCCATCACGACCATTATTGCGTAGTGTGTCGGCTAATTGAGGTCCTTCCCGTTCGTGGTGTCAGTACACGCGCAACACGCGACTAAAATAAAAATAAAAAGCTTGGGACTAGCAACGCCGACGATATTTGTCGGCTTGCTTTCAACAATGCTGAACATACCCTTCAAAAGTCGTAAGGCATACAATCGTTTCGGCAATATGCGAGTGGTATTCATTGTAAAATGACCAGGTTTTGTGGTGTCAGGTCATCGTTTGATTTTGTGGCGGGAAATGCTCAAAAGTATAATTTGCTGACTTATCCAGACTCCGTACGGGCCACTGTAGGCATGTTGTTTTCACTAACGCGCATCGAGCAGAGATCCTAGGGTTGGTGTGATGGACAGACGTGTGGAAAATGCGTCGTGAAACAAGTATTATTGTGCTACGGAGAAGCCCCCCCCCGCCCCCTTTGGGCAGGGCCTGAGTCCGATGTTGCGAAGCGAATGTCGGCGATAGCTTTGCAGAGTTGATCCTAGGATGTGACGTGAAGATGCTGAATGGATGTCGAAGGTTGCAGGTAGCGGCACAAGGTGTGCTCGAAACGCCCAAGGAACGTCTCGAGCTTCGGACGAGAAGAGACAAATGGACAAGAAAGTTGTATGAGTAGTTGTGACTGGTAAAGGAGTGACCTTGATTCGGGCTTAGTGAGAGAGGTCCTTGCGTAAAGGTCGAGTACGGCCGTCGAGAACACGGACGGACTTGATCGACACTGACTGCGAAGATCGCTGGATGAGATTTTGCGTGTAGCACTGAGTTGTAGTTTGCAATGAAAACACTTAGTTGTAGAGACAAACAGATTCTGTTGTGTCAGGCCATACCTTGGTTGTTTGTGGTGGGAAAGGCTCAATAGTATTGTGTTACACTTCTGCTCGGTGCACCCGGTGATCGGTATGATACGCGGAGCCTTTGGGGGTTGTTGATGTGTTTTTCATTTTTCATAGAATGCGGAAGAGCGTTACCCGTTCTTCTGCTGAGGCGGAGTATGTTGCCATGGCCGCGGGAATTCGGGAGCCGATCTTTTTGCGATATCTCGGGAGTTATGTTTATTTTTCGGATCGCGACGTTGGGCCCACCCTTGTCAAAGAGATGTAAAATATGTTGGAGCGATCACCTGCCTAGCGAAGAACCCGGCAACTACGCCGAACTAACTCTAAGGACGTCGACATCATAATTCCTTTTGGGGTGTGTGGCAATTTTTTCAAGGTGGTCTATGAACCTTCCGCAGAACAGCACCGCCTCACAAAAACCGCTGCACCAGCGAGTGTTTGACTGCACCTGATTCTCTCTATTATGACTGACCTCGGTTGGATTTAGATATGGACATTTTTTTTAGACATTCTGGTGGCACATTGTATATGTCACATCCTGGGGGGCGGGCGGGGGGTGGGGGAGGGAGGATTGAGCATGACATGATGATTTAACAAGTAGCAGCACCAAAAATTTACCTTTAAGAGTTCAAAGCGGTATCTTTGGAAAATTCGGCCAGGATAGGGCGGAATTTCAAATGGGAAGGGTATTTAGGGGGAAAGTATGGAAAATTTGGGCTAGATTTATTTCTTGTTGAATTTCAAAGCGATGAGTAAGGAAAAATCCAATTGGTCAAGTATACACACAAAAGTTCAAGAAGCGCCGCACTCGTGATTGATCCGTGTGGCTTGTTGTCTTCGTGTCGCATCGGCTGGCGATGGGATCCGTGGCTTGTTAGTGTTTGTACGCATGGAAACAAAACATTCCTTTGATTGGTGTGTATCGTTAATTAAAAGTAGTGGCGGTCTTTTCACCGGTTTCACCGGATCCGGCACACGAATCATATTACAAACTACAACGTGGATCGCCTTCTAGGGGGTTTTGCCATGACGGGAAAGTTCTCAAGATATTTCAATTTTCAAAACGGCTTATGGGTGGTGGCGAAACAATAAACTGTCTGCATTGTTCGAAGACGGAAAGTTCTCAAAATATTCCAATTTTTCAAATGGGGAGTATGGGGTCCTAATAATTTGCAAAACGTAAAAAAATTTCGGCACAAATTTCAAAGTTCCGTAATTTTGCCAACAAGATTTGTTTGTATGTCCAACCCATCCATGCGGGTTCCGCGAGGCCAAGGGTCGGCGTGCGTGGGTTCATATACATCAAGAGCTCAAGAAACCGTCTTGCGTGCGTGTCGCCCTCGGTTCTGCAGGAACAGCAGGTTGTGCAACTCACGGCGCATGAATACCACAAAATTCAATCGCAAACAGGCACGCGTGCTAGTTTCGGCAACCCCGACCGGCCAACCCCTGGGCACCCCACGTGGAGGGGAAAACAGACCGCAGCAGGCGCAGGTGCAGGGGGTGGAAATTGGGCCTACACCGAAAGGCGTGGAACGGGGAAACTAAAAAAGACACCCATGTTAACGCGACACCGCGGCTGCCGACTAAATAGTGGGGCTTCTGTCTTCCTTGTGTAAGAAGGAATTGGGTGCGTGGACCGAGCACGCTCGAGTAAACAAAAATAATGCTCACACGGTAACTCGAGGTCCAACCTTCGGAGCAGCAGGAATACGCCTGATATGGTACTGTTCAAGCCCTCCAGTACTCTCCATGCGCCTCCCAAAGTGTGGTCAAATCGCTAGTAGAGAGGAAAACTCAGAACCGTTCCGCCAACTATCTTTGCGAGATATTTGCAGGTCATTTCTAAAGCCGATCGAAACTTACCCCCCGCCCCTTCATGGACGCAAGGACATGGTAGAGCCCCCCCCCCCTACCCCGACCGCCCTCCTGCATGTCTGCACCCCTGTCTTTGTCGTTGTCTCTGTCTCGCGCGCGCCACACGCGTTAGTAATAGTATGAGCTGGCTACTCGCCCCCCTCTTCGCCTTCGCCGCCCCCCTCGAACTTGCTGTCGGGGGCGATAGACGCCGTCAGCCCACACTGTTGTAATTGCAAGCAGTAGCTCTCCGACTGTTTGTTTGGTTTGTAGTTCGTCAGTTCAATCGATCGATCGATCCAGGTGTCCGTTTCCACGCCGTGGAGAAAACCCCGCGTTCCGTGTGGTAGCACGCGTGATTTAGGGGGGCCCGAAAAGGGAAAATAACGGGGGTCAAGTTAGTCGATGCGCGTGGGATGAAAATGTCTGAAAGGAGAGCACACGGAATATGACGCCATCCGAACAAAAAAAAAGAGAACCTCCCGGGTGTCGGCATCTTCGAAGTGGCACTTGGCAGATTTCTAGCACAGCAAAACAAACCCTGCCAGCCCGTCGGTAGCGGGATTTTTTTAGGCGTGCCACAGCCTTGGCGCCCTTGCAACAACGTCGTCTACGGAAACGAGACAACGTTTATCATCGGTGTCGCTTCGGTTCACAGCTCAACATTTATTTCACACGAGATAAAATATGGGAATACTAAGACAGCAGCCCGTTGTCGTCAACAGGGAGCGACCATCTAGCATGCGCTCGCTCCTTCCGAAGTCCAAAAGAGCGGCTTTAAGAATAGACACCTCGACAAAAGCTTGCTGCCGCCAAAGTGGCGACACCTGCGCCGCATGTCTCTGTTGCCCTCCTAAACCCTGTCACTTCTCCGGGAGACCGGAAACCATCTGGTCTCACCCCAAGAAAAAAAAAGAGCCCACAACAATGATGACCACCCCAACGCTTGTCCTTTCTAGACAAAAACTGCAACAATCCCATGAGAGACCCTGCATGCATGAAAGGTTCTGCCTGCAGTAGTAGGGCAGAAAACGAAAGAAAAATAAAAGAACACTTGAATTTAACGCACCTTGCTCTTCCACGCCTGCGTCACCGTCGCCTTCCCTGACTTGTGGGTCTCCATCGTGACCTCGTAGGCTTTTTTCATCGTCAGCTTCTTCACCACCTGCATGCACATACAGGGACGCGCCCGCACGCGGGCGTCCACATGATTGGCTCACTCGCTGTGATGTACTCATATGATTGGCTCATTTGTGGTGATGGATCCACATGATTGGCTCACTCGTTGTGATGTTCTTATCACCGAGTGGGTCGTCGGAGCTCTAATACGCTGAGAGCTCTTAGAACAACGCAGAAATCTGCCCACGCACGTGGTTCTCTTTGTTTCACAGGGTGAGAGCAGAAGAATAAAGCATATCGCAGCATAGCATGCCGTCGTACTTTTCGAAGCGGTAGTTGCAGTGACAGCAGCATCGGCCACAGGCATGGAGTCACGAGGGCTACAATCTTGAAACTGCTGTCAAGTTGGAGTCACGTGTGAAAGTGGAAAAAATAACGACGCCCCCCCCCCAAAGTGTAATTTACCGTTGCCCGATTAGAAACGCACCACTTAAGTGCGAACACCGTGTACTCGCTGCTCCCTCGCTTCGACCACCAAACCACACCACGCAATAAAGAACACCTCGACAAACGTAACCACCGTTGTGTTTGCTTTCTAAAAATGTAACCACACCGTCTATTCTACGTCGTTGCCATCTCAGCACCGGCACCAAGAGCACCAGCACCCCGCCCCACCTTGGTGATGGACTGCGTGACGTAGTCAAACGTGTGAATCTCGTCGTTGTGGAGGATTACTCGCCACCACTGCTCCTTGTCCAACTCCTCCTTGTTGTCCACCTGCGGCCGAACGGCAAAGCGAGAGAGGGGACGGGGGGAAGGCTCGCTTCAAAACGCCACGGAAGAACCACTCGAGGTTTACTTACCCCTCACCCCAAAGAATGGGACCGTTCTTCTGTCGGAGAGAGAGGACATATTTTTTCTCCTCCGCCCGCCTCCGCTTGTTTGGGGTAGCTCGGCAGATCTACGGGGCCTCCGGGGGGGGGGGTGACGTGGATGATAATATGGGTATGATGGACATGGGCCCGTCTCGCCTCCCTCATGCCTGCCATTCGCTAATGATGCAAGGTCTTGGTGGGTCAACCTTCTTTCTCTTTCGGCCTCTGACGAACCTGCTTCACCCAGACACCGCTGACTTAAAAAAAACGGGTAATGTAGACTCTACGCGCTCCAGCGGCACATCTTTTGGGAACACCTTGAGGACAGCTTTTAACGGCCGCTCCGCTCTATCCGAGACTTGCGCCCTCTGGGAAGAATAGGCCGGTTTTAAAACGATCGGCTTGCCCAGTCTTAGAAACGGCATGCGCAGCGGTGACATGTAAACAACTGGGTGCGGCCCTATCGAGAAACAACGCTCCACACACCGCGGAAACTATTCCTTCCAGCCGTCAAACAGTGGCAAACACAGGTGCACTTATTCTTTAACGGGGGTTTTGCTGGGGCGTGGGGGGCATGGGTGATAGCTGGTTCCGCGAACATCACGAGCGAAAAGCCAGCGGCGAGGCCAGCGTGTTGATAGGCTGGACGGCTATCCTCGATCCGTTCAGGCTGATTCAGGGTGAGCGCCCAGACTACTCAGAGGTTTGCCTAGGTCCCTACTTTACCATTCATTCCAAAACTTGAGGGTCTACAGCAGTACCAGTGAGTCAAAGAAATCGCTTGAGGTTTCGCACATTTGCACCGTCCGTATATGTAGCACAAACCTCGGTGAAGGTTTGACTACCAAACCAAACCTTTCAGGCATGCTTTCAAACTGTGTTTCTGTGTGACGCAACAGTTGTAGATTTCCCCAACTTTGAGGACGTTTACAACCGTAGATTAATTTCTCATTTCGACCATTTGAACAAGGGACACCGGTCGCGACCTGTTGCCCAAAGCGTACTTGTTTCATTGAAACACGACGACGCCAACGACCACGTCCAATACTTGCCACCCCTCGGAGCATAATTCGCCCCATACAATGAGCATGATGTTTGAAGGCCCTTAGTTGGTCGAGATGCGTTTGCTCCGCTAGCGCCATCGCTGGGACTTTGCAGCAGCATGCAGCGGTGTTACCATGATCATAGCAGTCATACCGGCCACTACGGTACCAAATATATGAAAATTGGATTGCTGCTGCCGTCAGCATTTGCAGACAACTTAACTTCGGGGAGTTCAAACTAAAGCAACATTGTCATAGGTGTACTGGCGGCGTAGAACTTGTACCCCGTGGGAAAGAACCGAAAATAACCATGGTGCAAACGCCATCCCGTGGTCAGCACCAGACCTGAGGCAACGGTACAGCTATCACCAACGCCCTCAACAAACACCGAGGCAACAGCACCAACAGACAAGACACAGCATCCTAGAAGAGGGACGCCCGGTGGCGCCTGTGTGATGGATGCTCTCTCACCTCCACCATCTCCTTGACCTTCTCCTTCACGATCGTCTGCACTCCCGTTCCCGTCCCCCCCCCCGTAGACACGTCCTGATCCGTTGCCGACGACATGCTAAGCCATCGAGAGCGCTGGGAAACCCTCTGCTGTGTCAACCCGCAACAGCCTGGAGTTCCACGAAGACCGTGGGGAGGGGGGGATATCAAGTCTCCCTTGGTAAAAAAATCGGATATTTATGACGAAGCAAGTTCTTTTTGACAAAATACGTGTACTCACGGGATGAGGGAAGTTTTTTTCAGAAAATATACAACCGAGCACGGAAAGACTGCTGGTTCGAGATGTAAACAGAGCAGTCGAAGGGGAATGTTGAAGTAAGTCCTTAGTTCGTAGTCTCCCAACAGAGCGATTGCCGTTCCAGGGTTGGTGTCGGAGTCGGTGAGCAGGCAATATATCGGAAAGGATTACAACTGAGCCCGCGGGGGGAGGCGCGGGTGCTTCATGATAAAACAGTCCATTCAGTGACTTTTTCGGGGACCGCAGCAACGTCGTAAATAGCGCCCACGTCCATGCCGTACAGCGTTTGCATGATGACGATAAGACAAAAACACCAAGGTGATTCGACGCAGGAACACAGAAACACGCCGCTCGATTGTGTATGTGGCCGTGCCCAAAAATGCGGAGTTGAAACCGTCTCATCGTGAACTATCGGCATCGTCCGCGTGGTGGAGTAACCGAGCTTTGAAAATCGGTCCAGGGGGTGTGGTATCTGACGTCATGAAACCTACGCATACGGTATATACACCACATTGTTTGCGTTCATACCGCAAGAGACGGAGAGATGACACCACCCCTAGACTGCTTTTCAAAGCTTGATAGCTCCACACCCAACCTTGTGCCAACACCAAAAAAAGCGATTCTGTAAACATCTCGTCGAGGGCTTCCCGTAGACCTATCTGGCTCTTTCCGCAGCCACTTGGTTGTGGAGAAATCGAGCTGTGAAAGTTGGTCTGCAGGGGGTGCATCTCTCCGCCTCGTACTGCTGTATTCCATAAGAAAATGAAGCGACAGACGGCACCAGCCCACTAACGCTGCATGGCCTGAGGGTTTTCAACAGCGATATGTTGCACTGGGTTGCAGAATATTCACGCTGCTAGTGTGCGTGGCATCTACAGTACTGCTGTACGTAAAGCAAGGAACCAGCGTTGTAAGTAGACTGGATTTGCCTGCATGCAGCAGTATCTCTGTACCTCTCTCTGTATACAGCAGCCACGTTCATGAAAAGCACGCTGACATGGTTTGCACCGAGTAGCGATAGGAAAACCGCGCAACTCGCCATTGCGAGTAGTGCAACCCCTGTACTGCTGTAAACACGGAAGGGTGCGTGTGTGGGCTTGCCAGTGAGAGCTGTCGTGGGAGGACCAAAACGTTGTCTGGACCCGCGGGAGCATGCGCCAACCAACATCATCCGCAATGAACACTCATACACTGGGGCATTCAGCCATTCTCCCGCCCATAAGCGGAGCACCACGCCAGCATTGCGGTGAGCACACGTTACCCCTCATTTCTTCGGCCCACATCGCTCGGATGCTCTTACTATCTTTGTGGGTGAATCACCAGGATCGACCAAACATCGTGTGCACCAGCATGTCGCCACGTGCACTTCAATGACATGATGATGCATCTAACTTTGCTCGTCAGTAACAACAACAACGGCCACGGCAGCACACGCTCATGGCAGGCTGTTGTTCCCAAGCTGTAATTCGGAAGGGCTACTACCCCTAGACTCACCCACGGGCTGTTGACTCCGTGCTGCATCGCCCGTCACCGCTCGTCTTGCGACCCCACGAGGTGCTGCTGTTGGTAGCGCAACGAACGCTCGGCCGGCGCAGAGGCACAGCCACAAAGCCACCGCCTTCAAGAAACGAGCTACAGAAGCCATCCCGTCTTTGCGGCAGGCGAAAGAACACGGTGCTCTGGAAGGCCGTCAACACGACAGGGGTCGATATCCGTGTAGAAGCCTATGTAGTGTGTTGCAAGAGAGGGAAGGCACAGCACCGCACAGCGCAGTCAACGACACACATAAACCGAGAAGGTACCAGGGGCTCCGCGGATTCAGGCCGAGTGGTTCTCACATGAGGGGGTTCTCGAGTACGTACCTTCGTTGCAGTGGCTCCGCTCGCTGCAATGACACGCATATCCGGCAAACTCTCTCCTCTCGTAGGCCTCAACTCTCCATGAAGACCACAAGTGGACCTGGAGTGCGTTTGCTGCTGGTGTGGCTACTTTTTGTGCAAGGTTCGAAAGTACACGGACGGATGCATGCGGAAAAGAGCCGCATGCCGCGGGTGTCATGTTGTTCATGCGTAATGCGGAGCATTTACACCCTTTGGTTTCCTAAAAAGTAGTTTTCTGTCTAGCCCTTGCACGTTGAACTTCTTGTATCGACGGCCACGGTAAGGGAAAACATCAACTTACGCCACATGAAGTGCTACTTGGCGTTTGTCTCTCATTGCTTTCAGGGTGATCTCTTGGTGTCCAGGAGATCGTGTGCATCGGTCTGGGCAGACACATCGTGCGAATTCCAACATGGAAAGGTCGTGCGAATTCGAAGCGACCTTACTGCATGTGTACGACGATCAACATCTCCGCGGTTACTGTCGTAAAGAGGGGCCAGGGCGCGTTGTAGATGTGACGGGAGGAAAATGCGGCAACCGTCAACGCGACCGGATGCAACTAATCCACGACCCCAAGTTTCCCGCTCGGTCTCTCGCCCCCTCCCTAACAGAAGCATGCGAGCTGTTTGCATACACAAGCGTCGGGCCATTGAAACCACCGAGGAAAACCCCACATGGGTCGGTGGCAGGAGTGAGAACGGGAACAACATCACTAGGCAGCAGCAGAGAAGACGGACCCGAAATAATGTCGGTTGTGGAACCGATGACGACTCGGCTGCAAGTGCTGCAGAAGATGGGGGCCGCAATTTCGTTGCTGCCGGCCGCGGGGGCGGTTGCGGTAGGGGCGGGAGGCGGTTTGGCTTTCCCAGAGGAAGCCCGAGCTGCGAAGGGGAGCGCAGATGTGAGCTCCACTTGCTTGCGGATATGTACTCCCCATACCTGAAAAATAGTTAATTAAAATCACACACCCACATATATATGGCCTATCTCTCCCCCCCCCCCCTCTCTCAAACCTGCCCCTCTCGCGCCCCCCGTCCCCCCTTGTGTTTTTCAGTCTCAACCCATTTGCCTCTGCGTCTACAACACAACGTTGCATATTTGTCGTTCAAGGACAGAAGAACAACCGTGTACATCCGTACATACATTGTTCAGATATATGACACCTCCCTCCGACCTACGACGCATGTGTCAAACTCCAAGAAGAGGCACCTTTTTCTTACACGCCCACCGGTAAGCAGTGTGTTTACGACGAAAAATATGACGGTGGGTGTCATGTAGTGGCATCCCGTTTGTCTGCGAGGGTATTTATTTGAAGCTTCGATATGGAAGTCCGCCAGTCTGGGTTGCACGTTGACGGCCACATGAGGTATTAAACATGCGCTTTTTGCTTCGTCGCAGGCGACCCAGAAGGAGTGGATTTCTGGGAAAGGAGCGCAGCCAAAGGGATCAGATGTGAGTTGGAAGCTCACCGTTTGAAAAAAGGCGTGGTGTAGATTGTTCTAGCCATCTCGCATGGATCTCAAGAGGCGCACTTCGGAACCTCGCCTTTTTTCTACCGATTATCGAGCCCCCAGTAATGGCTGATTCCCTCTCGGTCCACTTCTGACCACAGGTAGTTGCTGAAACACCCGCACACGCTCGCGAAAACGCAGGATAAAACGGGGACCCGTAAAGAATCCAAGTACCTCCGGTGCTTGAGCAACTGCCTGGCCGATTGCCAAAAGCCTACGTACGGGCCGGAGAGGGACCGAGAAGAGTGCCTGCAGGCTTGCCAGGATGAGTGCTGCATGTCTTACGAGCAATGCACCTATACCGTCACGCAGAACAAGTAGCGGGAGTTGTACATGATGCGGATTTTCACACTGATTTGTGCTTGTCGTGAGAGCGGCATGAAAGTACCACTGTACATCGGACGCGAAGACGCGATTCAATTAGAAATGTGTGTTGGGGTGATGTGCTGTCGTGAGCAATTACTGCCACCTAACGTTGCTAGCGCCCGAAAGTTACTTCGCAAGGGCGGTTTTGTCTTCACAGCACTTACCTTGTAGGGGAGGCGGCCGTTCTTGCTCAAGCGTGTGTTCAAGCTAGGACTTCGAAAAAAGAGCCATCCTACACAATAGTTGCGAGATAGATTTGTTTGTAACCGCTAGGCATCTACGGTAGAACACAGCACCGTGTTATTTGTTGCCAAATGTTACGATGAATGTTACGGAAACACTACTGTTGGCATCAACGATTTGCTCACGTGTGTCGCCGGTATTGAAAACGATTGTAAACGAGAACATTTCATTCAAGGCCAAACTAGGTTGAACCCACCCACGGTATTTTTCGTTGTACGAAGCTGCTGGTGGGCCTCTCGTTCATAAGCATTTTGGTGCTACGGGTGCTTCCGCGCCTGGCCATTTGTTCGGCCTCTCGTGCGAAGTCCAAGACAAACGAGAAGGCGGCGACGCTCAAACCGGTATCGAGAACACTACACATCTCTTGTGTTACCGTTTTCGTCCAACCGGGCGGATGGAAAACGTTGATCGAAAGGCGACCGAGAGTTCAACGTGTCAGACTTGTCTGTACCTTCCTTTCGAAACCCAAAACGAAACTGCCGCAGAAAAAAAACACTCGATAAAATTCCATCCGAAAACATTTTTCCCCGCAATGCTTTGGCAGGGTCATAAATGCGCCGTGACCGAAACGCTAACTCGAATATCGATACTCTCGCCCCCTCGACGCGGCTTGGCGCCGCCAACACCGCCACCTACGATTGCTCCCGTCTGTATGACCGTTCGCGCAGGCGGGTTGTCCTTGTCGATCCAGCGGCCCCACGCCTTCTCAACCCCGGGCAAATCTTGCCCCAAATCTCGGACGCAGACGAGCGCTGACACCACCTTGGAAGTGCTCGATCCCACCTCTTCAAGAAGCTCCTTAATCTTATCCAAGGCTCTCGCCGCCTGCTGCTCGGGGCTCAAAGATTCGGCAACACCCACGTCCCCCTCCCCGCTATCGTCACCCGCGGTCGGTGACGGTAACGCTGTCTGTCCGCTGATGAAAACTATACCGCCTGACGCGACGGCCTCGCTCCGGACTGAGCCTTTCTGGAATCGTTTCGTCGGAGCAGCCACTAGGGCGGCCCGGGTCTTCGCAGATGCTTCCGCAGCTGCTAGCTCTGCGGCTTTTCTCAGGGCCTCGCCAATTTCCTTTGATAGAGGAGGAACACATTGGAAGGGGGAAGCGGCTCCAGTAACTTGGCGATATGAGTGTTCAACGCGGTTTCTGCTGTCACAGCACGTTCAACGTTCTGGCATACTGCATTAAAAAATCGAAGGCAAAGTGCCACAGGAGGGGTGGGTAGGTGGCCTCAGGGAGAGGAACCCCTGCGTGTGACCACGGGTTGGAGTAAACGGCACAAGTGCTGTGAGCGCTGGTTTGAAGTGAAGAAGAAAACAAAAACAAAAAAACCGCCATGCTAGCTTTATATATTTAGTTGGAGCGTTGGCCATGTGCAGGCAAGCAAATGCTCGCAACCGACAGCTGCAACCGGAGAGAAAGAAAACCGACAATCAATCGGGCAAAGACCAAGATGTAAAGGTAGAGAATTTTGGGTACGTCTCAGGGCGAGGAACTAAATTGCATTAATGGGGGCGACACTGCACTAGACTATGTAACTGGTCACGACCTCTCTACACCTGTCACCCACATCCCCCATCTCACACACGAAATGGTGTAGACAAGTCTAATGACCTACAAATCGTTCTCCTCTCACTCATCAACATAGTGGGCGTAAGTATTGTAGCAAAAATTCCAGTCCGTGTGACTGCGCCGAAATTCGAACCCACGTCCCAAACGTCAGAAGGTTGGGAGTTGGGAGGTTACCAGCTGAACCACTCATCCAGTGCTGTTGTGTGACACAAGCTCGATCGATGATCAAGCGTTACTTATCGGTTGGACGCTAATTACTGTATGCCCGGGCATTCCTACGTCGCTTGCAGCCGTCGAAGAATGCGGAGATTTCTCAACTTGCGGCGGAAACAGACGAGGACATGCCAGGCAAGTTGTTCGTTGGCAACGGCATGTTGCACACCGTTCACGGAGGAAACACGAACCAACAGTTGTGATCGTCGCCAGCAGGGACTCGTAAACGGTATTCGCAGTACACAGCAGTCGCGGCAGGTGTTTATTTTGTTGCGTGGTTGTTGCTCACCTCCGCCGTCAGCTGCTTATCCTTCAGGAAGGCGATTTGCTTCGCTTCCGGCGCGCCTTTGACTTTGGGATGTCGCAGAAAGGACACCGCGCGCTTCACCATGTCTTGCCGTATATCAACCATGATTGCTCTGATAGCTCTAGGTCAGCAGTGAGCAGCTGAGTTGGTGGTGTCTGTGGTCACTGGTCAATGATCTTTGTCGCGCAGCGTTGCAGGGTGTTAGGGTGTTGATCTCTCCGGCCAAATGCGGCCCAATTACCCCCGAGCCTTCAGTTCGCGGAGCCCCCAGCTCCGCGCCTGACGTGCCCAGTCACCCAGCCAGCAGCAGGCAGGCTTATCTCTCGCGGCAGCGTGTACCATCCCCCATGATTTTGGCCAAGTGAGTGGCTACCTCGATATTGGTCCCTCGTTCTGTTGGATGGTGAGATCTTTGAAGGCCGATAGAGCTAGCGGCGACCGACACTCAAACATGACAGAAAGCACGATCGACGTCATGCCGACAATTCCGCCGTCAGTTGCCGTCATGTGTTGCATAGGGTATCAAACGCTGCTACGCTGACAAAGCAGCACACCATACACCGCCGTGTCATGGGTCGATTACTCCTGGATCATGTGCAACGAATTTCAACTAATAGACGAGAGAGGTTCATCTGGTTGATTGTATCATAACGTATTGATACTGCTGTGCGGACTCGCCCGCCGCATTGCTGGGGCACGCGGCAAAGCAACGAGGACACGAGACACAACCCAGCACAACACCAACTTGACAATCGTGTTACAATGGGCAGCGCAGTCTTAAACCATAGGTCATTCAACCGGAATGGGAATCACATCTGGTCGTATCCTCGTCCCTGTGCACTGCTGCCTGCTCCGTAAACTGCTAGAGATGTCCATCCAAGAGTTTTGGCCGGCGCTGTAAATTTGCCTTCTCTCTGGTCACTTATGTATGGATCTTGCCTACTCGGGTATGCATATTATGTAGCGTCTACTACATGTGTCGATGTATCCTTGTTGTGCCGCCCTATTCCTTCAGTCTGACGTCTTGCATGGCATGCTCACACCAAACTTGGAGGGCCTCTGAGCGGGCAATGTAATCCTGTGGACTCTCGGACTCTTTCATCTCCAACTCCTTCCAGTCCTGCTCCAACCTCGACTTTTCTGACTGCTTTTTCTCCTGATAGAACTCGGTCACTATTTTCCAGCCCTTTTGGGTACTCTCACACGCCAGAATCAAGCTCTGAATCGGGGGATACATAACCTTGCTTATGAGGATATTCCACAGTTTGAAAGACTTGTCTACCACTTCATTTCCAAAAAGTCTCCGAAGGTCTCCTACATTCACACCCCTCTTCCCGACCTTGACCTCGACCTCCAGTTCCAACGCATCATGCACACCCTCCTCCTGAAAATATGAAATCATCTTACCACGAAAAATATCAAACATAATGTACAAGTCCTGCTCCTTCTTTACACTACCAAGCCAAGGTTCGATTTCTGAGCCTGGATTGACACGTAACGTGCCTGAGCGGGCAAAGCCCTGTTGTTGAGCGATGGCCTCAGCTGTCGCCTTGGCCGCTTGCGCCACGATGTGTGCGACGCTGCTCAGGTCGTTGAATGTGGCTGGTGTACCCTGGCTGGAGGGTGATGGTTGGTTGCCAGTAGGTGGGACTGGGTTGCCGGTTGAAGTGGCTGGGTTGCCGGCTGGTGGTTGGGCAATGGTGACTTCACCCTCGTTGATCCTGTTGGCTTCGAGTTCGGCTTGCACTCGTTGATGGACGATCTCCTCCACTTTTTGTTGTAGCTCTTCCCCGCTGAGGGCGGAGAGGTCGATGTCCTCCATGGTGTTTGGTGTTGTGGGAGTCTACCGATTGCGCGTGACTGCACAACCCCCGGATGGCTACGCCCGCGCGCAGATACCGTGATATCGCACTAGTGTGAAAGGTAAACTACGCGGGGTGCAGCAAGCACGTTCTGGACGTTACTTGGGGCACTGGGTAGTCGGCCGTGTTAGGCCGAGAGAGAGAGATTGAGAGAGAGTTGGAGAGAGAGTGGGAGAAGGAAACTTGATTGGAGAGAGACGGTGGTGGTGGTGGAGAGAGAGAGGAAGAAGTGAGCGCAGCACGCACGCAAGCTTCATCGCACCAACCACGCCAAAAGGGTCCCCGTGACCGCACCGATGGTACCCTGCAACACACGAAATTCCCAACACGTATCCCCCTGGGATCCTCACGACCAGATACTGCTGCGAGTATATCTAACATTGGATCTGTCTGTCAGGAGTCTTGCTGGCGTTCTGCTGGCCCTCGCGGGACGTCGATCCGCGGATGCTTTCGCCGTGGGAGGGGCTTCGCGCCATGCCATCGGCCGCCGCAGTGCTCTTTCGGGCGCTCCCGTGGTAAGACTACCTTGCCGGTGTTACTGTTGCCCAGCGCACCGGGGACCAATTTTTGGCACCCCGTCGTGTACGGCGCACTGGACGTGGGGCGACACTTCTCAGTGTTTGTTTGACTCGTGTCACGCGGCACAGTCACTCGCTGTGTCCCCCATCCGCAGGTCTAGCTTTCTCTACTTGCAACCTACGATCTGGTACCTGTCTCACAGACCAATTCCTCTTGAGTTTTGTGCCTTAAGTTTTCGTCGCGAAAGGGTGGAGTAATCCTCTTCCCCTCATAAACCAGTCGAGGTTTGTTGATGCACGCATAAGCGCGTTCCAGAGAGCGTGACACCTGGATGCGAACCCACTACCCCGATTGTTCGATAGTTTTGAAGACACCTTCAGACCGCGAGGAGGTCTTTCTCGCATGGTGGTTTCCTTGACGACCCGTAAATGTTGTTCCAACCGCGCTGCCTAACCTTGTCTGTCGGAACTTTTTTTCTCATGGCGTTCCACTTGTAGGTGTACCTTGTTGGAACCCGTGGTGAGCACTATACCTTACCCACAACTTCACCGACACACTCCTGATCGAGCCTTCAAAAGCACAACGAAGGCAATCAGATTCTCAGTCTCCAATAATCTGGTCGCTTCACGTCTCAAAGGGAAGCATTGCTAAGGCTGAACGCCGAGCCACCGTAACCGCTACTCCCGTCGAACGCAGGCTTCGATTGTCTCGACTGCCCGGCCGGAGATGAATCGAGTTCGCGCTGCCTCGCCGTCACGAGGGTCCGCAAGGATGCTGGCTGGCCAAGAGTTTGCCACTTGCTCCGAAGCCGACTTCCGCGCGTACATAATCGGGTGGACGTTCGTGTGGAGCGGCATCATCCCGTATACCTTCATTGCCTCCAAGGCAAGTCGGCTTGACCCGCCTGTACTGCAAGGATGTGTGCTGCCCCCCAAGAATACCACAGACGGTGGTTAATAGAGGACTGTTCGACGCGAACAGTTCAAGTACCTCGCTTCGGGGAACGCTGCTCCACATTTGTTTTTCCACGTCGTTTGTTGTAGATACCTCCTATTCCTCGCGTGACGCCGTAGTACTTGTGTATGGTATAGGACTACCACAAACATCGAGCGGACGCTAGACCGAAGCACCAAGTTGAGGTACGCGCTGCTGTTTCGAGCCCAATCATCTCGTCGGTGTCTCGAACCCAATATTGCAGAACGTTCTCGGCGCGGTAGTTGGCTTCAAGGCGCGGTCCACGGTGAAGGAGGGCGAAGACGCCACCATCTCTAACCAGAGCCTGCTGCTCTACAAGGACCCCATCAAGCTGCTGGACATCGTCAACATCGTTGGCCGCTTCCAGACGTAGGTGCATAGCGCAATATCGTTCGGCCTCGATGTTCGCTCTGCCGATGACAACGTATTTTATCCATGTGTCCGACTTGCTGCTCATCGACAGTCGACGCCGCAGCTAGTGTTCGATTCCTCCGCCCTAGTTCAAAACCAACCCCACGGACGCGTTAGTTCGTGTCGTATGGCACACACCTGTGTACAGTAGCAATTCCCCTTTTTCGACTGTGTAAGATCTACCCGTGGAGTACGATGCAAGAGTCAAATTCTGAAGCGTCACACTCGAACGTGGTTTGAACTGTCTTCGGCACAAACGACCCTGGCTCTGCTGATTGTTCCGCTCGATTCCTTCCGATGATTGGTGGACACAAATAACGAACAGGTTTGACGACGTGCAGGACAAGAAAGGCGGTGTGATGAGCGACTACCTGTTCCGGAACACCTTCAAGGTCAGCGGTATTCTTGCGGGCGGACAAGCGGTTTAGCCCGTTTGCTTTCAGATTTCACGGTCTTCAAGAAAGCTTGACCTGTATCTTCCTATTTTGGTGCAATTCATGTTCTTGTGGCCCCGTTTGAACGTGTAGCATTTGGGACGGATTTCTTGTTATTGCAAAATAGGCCCCAGTATCCCGGCAGTCGACCCGCAGTAAAAACTGCTGTTCTTTGGGGTTCCTACGTGTGTACTAATGTCCTGGTTCTCTATCCCGAATTCAAAGGCGTTGGTCCTGCTGCTGCTGTACAGGAGAACCTCCGGCGATCAAAGTTCAAAGGGTGGCCAGCGGGCCCTGACGGCCAGCCGGCCCTGAAGGACGCCTTTGGGGGCGACGTGAAGGCGGTAACGAGGACCATGGCCAAGAGGGAGCTCTCGGACACTGCGATGGACGCCGTGTTCGACAGCTTCGTCGGCAGCCCACTCTCGCTGGTCGCAGATAGGTGACTGTCTGGCTTGCGAACAGGCTACACCTTGTTGTAGCAGTAGTATGCTACTCCGAACGAAACTCTTGATACATGGCATGGATATATTTTTACGCCCTTTTGCCGCACGGCAGGAATATGGTGTTCGAGTGTTGGACGGAAATCCGAGGATCGAATTGAACACCAAAGTTATGTCTCTCAGAGACTTCATGGCTTAATCGGTCGTAGTTTTGGAGCATGTGCAAAGAGGGACTCCGGAATCGCGCTTTGGTTGTCCCCTGTGGTGACCTTTCGCTACGGACTGGTTGACAGTAGAAGTGAGGTGGCTCAGTATGCTGTATCTCCTCATTGCGAGTCGAGTCTTGTTGGGGACTTGTGCCATGCTTTGGTTGCCGCCAGGGTACATTGTGTACTTGTACTCGAGTGGATCGATGGGGGTTTGGGCCGCGCGAACGATGTACCCGGTGTTTTTCTGTAGAGAAATGGATCGGATGCGCACCGGCGAAACAGACCTGTCTATCTAACAGACAAGAGGTACGGACTGTTCGTACCGACGGTGGGTCGGCGTGCGCGCCCCACACGTGATTGCTTGCCAGGTTCAAAGTGGACAACCAGCTCGACAACTGGCGCAAGGATAACACGTTCGACATCAAGGGATTCGAACAGGGTCTCCTAGTGGGGCGATTGCTGTGAGTCCTCACTAATACTTTATCTCACTCTTCGGGGGGCTCAAGACGGGGACATGAGTTCGCACACGGACTCTGATTCTCGTTCCTTGACCACGACGTTGAAGTTCCAACGGAATAGCGGGTAGCTGGGCATGGTGGGCTGTCGCGAGGCCCTTGTTAGTTTTCGCACGTGTCTTCCGGAGCCTTTTCATGAAGTCTACGCGATGGGCATGGGCAGTCTGCTGCAACAGAAGGCGCGCCTGGTTGTGGCTTCGATTCCTCATTGTGTACTTGCGGTCTTGGTTGCTCCGGTACACAATGCAGGTTTCTTTTTACCATCGTGAGCCTGGTTGGTCTCTTGCTCGCGGGCTACGGCGTCTTCTTCGTACAGCCGATCATCATCCGGTGAGATTTTTGCGGGTGTGCTCCAACATACCTTGAGTATTGAACTATCGATTAAGGACAAACACGGTTTTGACCTGCTGCTGTTCCCTACCGGAATTTGCCTGTTCCCGGATGTTCCTTTTATGTTATGCTCGCAGAGTATTGCCTGTAAAAGAGGCGTGTTCAACGTTTTGTCGCAATTACTGAAGCGACTAAGTGTGCCTCTGACGTTGCGGACATGCCCCCCATCCCCTGGACCTCGTGTGCGCTCTTGCGTAGGTATGGAAACCCGCTGGCGTTCCTGGGTTTCTAGGTCGGCGTTTATATGTAACAGCAATCGATCGACGATTTGGTGGGCATGCGTACGGCTCGCGCGAGAGCTGAACCTGCTGTTGCCGCCAGTTCCCTTGGGAAAGGAAAACGAACCGAGGATATGACATAGAAATAGCCATCTAGAGGTGGTGGTTGGCATTATTACAGCGCGTGTCGATGCCATTTTGGAAGGAGATATCTTTGAGGAGTTCAGGGGCAGCTAGTGTACGCTCACCTGCATCTTCATGCGCTAATTTTCCCTTTAAGGTGTACCGTAGGCAAAATTGTGAATGCAGTCGGACGAATGAGATTCGCGTCAAATTTTGATAGGGCCACGTGTCACTAAGTATGAACGACTGTGTGAGGTTGCAACTGGAACGAACGCGTTGGAAATAACGCCAAACGAGTAGTCAAGCACACCTAGGTCAACAAGAGCGAGAAAAGGGGACCAGAGGACAAGGAGAAAGAGCATAAGCGATCTTGCTGTGACGGGTGCTCGAGAACGTGAGGGCATCTCAGAGCTTGGTCGGCTTGACTGCACGTACCCGAGTGGCGGAAGGCCCCTGACGCTCCCTGCTGTGACATAATTTATTCGTCCTTATGTAGGGTCATCATCTCGACCAAGGGGAGGGATAAGTGAAGCCCGTCGATGACGGTAGCGCAACGACGACAGTCACATCATGCCCTCCAACTCGCCGTACACCAGCGTGCGCTAACATTTTTGCGCGGTACCGTCACGGTACAGCAGCTACTAAAAGTGACACACAGCAGGCTCGGATTTCTTGGTTGCATATCATAGACACCACGTCCCTCGGATTCTTTCTTGCTCATCTCAGACACCACACCCACGGTGCCCGACTAAAGTGCAACACCTGACGCACCCTTACCACGGACTGTACTTGTTCAACGCGGCGGAGTACTTTTAGGTGTGCCATCCTCTTCCACCATTGCCACTCACTCCAAGTACTTAGTGCCCTGTCTGTGCACCCGCCAGATGTTAAATATCAAGACGCCCCAACAATTGTTCGTCAACTCCAACCTGACGATATGTTTACTTGTCTAGCGTACACCCGCGAGGTCACCCCGACCATCCTACTTGGTATCGGTACAAACGCACACACAAGCTCCTCGTCTACCGCGTGAAAATTAAAAGATAGTCAAGAACATCTAGACTACTACGTCCGACGTCTCTTCATTCAATTGCCACTACAAAATCATTCACCATTCGTCTGTCGTACTCGTTGACCCGTACTCCCGCAAGCAACAGTCCATCCGTCGTCTTTCCAGCTCCTTCCTTTCTACATAGTCGGTCCACCTCAGCCAGTGGAGAACTAGCAACACCCCAGGGAGCTTTAGTTACTACCTCTTGTTGTGGATCTCAGTGAGACTTGGCAAGCACGGAAGACTCTTCATCGTGATCACCCTTTTCGCTCGATTGCCGCTCATCATGTGTGATCTGCGTTGGCAAACGAAGGTAGGAGCAGCTCACTGCTGTAAGCAACATACGTGGCTATACACTTGTGTGGACGCGTCGACACCGCGCGTGTCACGTGCATGTAGCCACAACGGGGGCAAGGATTGTCCAAACAAGATGCATACCTTAGATCTATCCATAATTGCGTTGCTATGGTCGTCTCTCTTCGCAGAATACCAAATGTTGCTGACCTCCTGTCCTCGATTTCCTTCCGATTCTATTAGAATGCGAACTGTCTCGTTAGTCCAGAAGCGCTGACATTGTCAGTTAGAGCTACAGGCGACGAGTGATACGTGCATATCTGCAAGGGCTAAGCGATGGCCTAACCACCCACCTCCTCGGTAACGTTTACAGCTGTAGATTCGCCCGCCGGAAGTTTCTTCCCAACCGAACCTTCGCCATTCCCGCTGCCGGCGCTCTGACGTTTGGAGTCATCCAGAGGCCGAGAGGCATCCTGTGCCTCGTCGGCCAAGGAGGGGAGCGGTACTGTAGCGGTGTCCTCCGCTTCACTCACAGCGGCGCTAGGTGTGCTGTCCTCCACCACCGCTTGTGGCACCCCCGCCCCGGCATCGGCGGGGTCCTGTTTCTCGTCGGGCACGACAGGGGATGGGACCGGAGAGTCCGCTCCTTCAGCATCGGCGGGAGTTGCGCTGTCCTCCACTGCACCCACCGTGTCTTGCTCCACTGGCCGAGAGGCATCCTCTGCTACGTCGGACACGGAGGGGGGCGGTTCTGCACCGTCCCCCCGTTCGCTAACAGCGGCGGTAGGTGTGCTGTCCTCTACCACCGCTTGTGGCACCCCCGTCCCGGCATCGGCAGCATCCTGTTTCTCGTCGGGCACGACAGGGGAAGGTTCCGGAGACTCGGCTCCTTCAGCATCGGCGGGAGTTGCGCTGTCGTCGACTACACCCGCCGTGTCTCGCTCGGCAAGTATGTTAGCATCCTTGGTCTCGTCGGACACGGTAGGGGATGACACCGCTGCTTCGAGACCGGCGGGAGCTGCGTTGTCCTCGCCTACATCCACGGTGTCTTCCTCCACTGTTCGAGAGGCATCCTCTGGCTCGTAGGCCACGGAGGGGAGCGGTACCGTAGCCGTGTCCTCCGCGTCACTGAGAGCGGCGGTAGGCGTGCCGTCCTCGACTGACGCGCGCGGTACCTCTGTTGCGCCATCGGCGGCATCCTGTTTCTCATCGCTCACGGCAGGGGGTGGTACCAAAGAGCCGGTGTTTTCGAGAACGGCGGTAGGTGCACTATCCTCCACTTCACCCACTGTATCTTCCTCCACTGGTCGAGAGGCATCCTCTGCTTCGTCGGGCACGGAGGGGGACCGTACCGCAGCGTCATTGGGAGAGGCGGATGGGGTGCCGTCCTCGACCACCGCTGGTGGTACCTCCGGCCCGGCATCGCCCGCATCCTGTTTCTCATCGGACACAGCAGGGGAAGGTACCGAAGAGTCGGTTTCTTCAGGTTCGATGGGAGCTGCGCCGTCGTCGACTACAACTATCGTGTCTTGCTCGGTGAGTATATGGGCATTTTGGGCGTCGTCGGACACGGCAGGGGATGGTGCCGCTGCTTCGTGACCGGCGGGAGCCACGCTGTCCTCCACTGCACCCACCGTTTCTTGTTCCACTGGCCGAGAGGCATCCTCTGCCGCGTCGGGCACGGAGGGGAGCGGTGCGACAGTGTCCTCCTGTTCACTGAAAACGGGAGCAGGTGTGCTGTCCTCGACCACCGCCGGCGGCACCTCCGTTTCTCCATCGGTGGCATCCTGTTTTTCACCCGGCAAGACGGGGGAAGGTACCGAAGAGCCCGCCTCTTCAGCATCTGCAGGAGCCGTGCTGTCGTCGACTACAACCGCTGTGTCTTGCTCGGCATCTATGTGGGCATCTTGGGTGTCGTCGGACACGGCAGGGGATGACGCCGCCACTTCGAGACCGGCGGGAGATGCGCTGCTCTCCGCTCCATCCACGGTTCTTTCCTCCACTGGTCGAGAGGGATCCTCTGGCTCGTCGGACATGGAGGGGAGCGATACCGCAGCGTCCTGCTCTTCATTCAGGGCAGCGATAGGTGTGCTGTCCTCCACCACCGCTGGTGGTACTTCCGTTGCGCCATCGGCGGCATCCTGTCTATCATCGGGCACCTCAGGGGATGGTACGGAAGAGCCCGCTCCTTCAGCATCGGCGGGAGCTGCGCCATCGTCGACTACAACCCCCGATTCTTGCTCGACTGGCCGAGAGGCATCTTCCACCTCGTCGGAGCCGGAGGTGCGAGCTTCGCTAAGAGCGGTGGTAAGTGTACCGTCCTCCACCACCACTGGTGGCACCTCCGTTGCTCCATCGGCGGCATCCTGTTTCTCATCGGGCACGACAGGAGAAGGTACCGAAGAGTCGGCTCCTTCAGCATCGGCGGGAGTCACGCTGTCCCTCGCTACACCCACCGTGTCTTGCTCGGCGGGTGTTTGGGCATCTTGGCCATCGCCGTGCACGGCAGGGGATGACACCACTGCTTCGAGATCGGCGGGAGGTGCGCTGTCCCCCACAACATTCACGGTGTCTTGCTCCAATGGTCGAGAGGCATCCCCTGACGCGTCGGACACGGAGGAGGGCGCCACTGCAACGTCCTCCGCTTCGCTAACGGCGGCGGTTGGTGTCCTGTCCTCCACCACCGCTTGTGGCACCTCCATCCCGGCATCGGCGGGATAGTGCTTCTCATCGGGCACGGCGGGAGAAGGTACCGAAGAGTCCGCTCCTTCAGCATCGGCGGGAGCTGCACTGTCGTCCACTGCACCCACCGTGTCTTGCTCCACTGGCCGAGAGGCATCCTCTGCTACATCGGACACCGAGGGGGGCGGTACCGCAGCGCCCCCCGCTTCGCCAACGGCGGCGGTAGGTGTGCTGTCCTCCACCACCGCTGGCGGTACCTCCGTCCCGGCATCGGCAGGATCCTGTTTCTCGTCGGGCACGACAGGGGAAGGTTCCGGAGATTCGGCTCCTTCAGCATCGGCGGGAGTTGCGCGGTCCTCCACTACATCATCCACAGTGTCTTGCTGCGTTGGCCGAGAGGCATTCACGACCTCGTCGGGCACGGAGGGGGACGGCACCGCAGCGTCATTGGGAGTGACGGTAGGTATGCTGTCCTCCACCATCGCTGGAGGCACCTCCGTCCCGGCATCAGAGGCATCCTGTTTCTTATTGGACATGGCAGGGGATGGTACCGAAGAGCCCGCTCCTTCAGCATCGGCGGGAGCCACGCTGTCCTCCACAACATTCACGGTGTCTTGCTCCAATGGTCGAGAGGCATCCCCTTGCTCGTCGGACACGGAGGGGGGCGCCACTGCAACGTCCCCCGCTTCACCAACGGCGGCGGTAGGTGTGCTGTCCTCCACCACCGTTTGTGGCACCTCCGTCCCGGCATCGGAAGGATCCTGTTTCTCGTCAGGCACGACAGGGGAAGGTGCCAAAGAGCCGACTCCTTCAGCATCGGCGGGAGTTGCGCTGTCCTCCACTACACCTATCGTGCCTTGCTCCACTGGTCGAGAGGTATCATCTGCCTCGTCGGACACGGAGGGGGGTCGTACCGCAGTGCCCTCCACCACCGCTGGCGGTACCTCCGTCCCGACATCGGCAGCATCCTGTTTCTCGTCGGGCACGACAGGGGAAGGTTCCGGAGAGTCGGCTCCTTCAGCATCGGCGGGCGCTGCGGTGTGGTCGACTATACCCACCGTGTCTGGCTCGGCGAGTATATGGGCATCCTTGGTCTCGTCGGACACAGCAGTGGATGATACCACTTCTTCGAGACCAGCGGGAACTGCGCTGTTCTCCCTTACATCCACGGTGTCTTCCTCCAATGGCCGAGCGGCATTCTCTACCTCGTCGGACACGGAGGGGGGCAGTACTGCCGCGTCCCCCGCTTCGCTAACGGCGGCGCTAGGTGTGCTGTCCTCCACCACCGCTTGGGGCACCCCCGTCCCGGCATCGGCAGCATCCTGTTTCTCGTCGGGCACGACAGTGGAAGGTTCCGGAGAGTCGGCTCCTTCAGCATCGGCGGGAGTTGCGCTGTCGTCGACTACACCCGCCGTGTCTCGCTCGGCGAGTATGTGGGCATCTTTGGTCTCGTCGGACACGGTAGGGGATGACACCACGGCTTCGACACCGGCGGGAGCTGCGCTGTCCTCCACTGCATCCACAGTCTCTTCCTCCACTGGCCGAGGGGCATCCTCTGGCTCGTCGTGGGAGGGGAGCGGTACTGCAGCGTACCCCGCTTCGGTAGGTATGCTGTCCTCGACCACCGCTGGTGGCACCTCCGTCCCGGCATCGGCGGCATCCTGTTTCTCGGGCACGACAGGGGGAGATACGGAGGAGTCGACTCCTTCAGATTCAGCGGGAGCTGCACTGTCGTCGACTGTAACCACAGTGTCTTGTTCGGCGGGCATATGGGCACTTGGGGCGGCGTCGGACACGGCAGGGGATGATACCGCTGCTTCGAGACCGGGGGGAGGTACGCTGTCCTCCACTACACCCACCGGGTCTTGCTCCGCTGGCCGAGAGGGATCCTCTGCCTCGTCGGCCACAGAGGGGAATGGTACCCCAGTGTCCCCCTGTTCACCGAGAGCGGCGGTAGGTGTGCTGTCCTCGGTCACCGCTGGCGGTACCTCCGTTTCACCGTCGGTGGCATCCTGTTTCTCATTGGGCACGACCGGGGAAGGTACCGAAGAGCCAGCTTCTTCAGCATCAGCGAGATCTGCGCTGTCGTCGACTACAACCGCAGTGTCTTGCTCGGCGAGTGTATGGGCATTTTGGGCGTCGTCGGACACCGCAGGGGATGACGGCGCTGCTTCGAGACCGGGGGGAGCTGTGCTATCCTCCACTACATCCACCGTGTCTTGCTCCACGGGCCGAGAGGCATTCTCAGCCTCGTCGAGCACGGAGGGGGGCGGTACTGCAGTGCCCCCCTCTTCAATAACGGCGGCGGTAGGTGTGCCGTCCTCAACCACCGCTGGTGGTACTTCCGTTGCACCATCGGCGGGGTCCTGTGTCTCATCGGGCACGACAGGGGAAGGTGCCAAAGAGTCAGCTTTTTCGAGACCGGCGGTAGGTGCGCCATCCTCCACTGCACCCACCGTGTCTTGCACCACTGGCCGAGAAGCACCCTCTGCTTCGTCGGCCACAGCAGGGAGCGTGTGCTCATCTTCACTGAGAGCGGCGGTAGGCGTGCCGCCCTCGACCACCGCCGGTGGCACCTCCGTCCCGGCATCAGCGGCATCCTCGCCCTCTTCGGACACGGCGGGGGATGGTACACCAGAGTCGGCGTCTTCAGCATCGGTAGGAGCCACGTTTTCCTCCGCTACACCCACCGTGTCTTGCTTCACGGACAGTGAGGCATCCTCTGCCTTGTCGGTCACGGACCTGACCGGTAGCGCAGCGTCCAGCTCTTCACTGAGAGCGGCAGTACGCGTGCTGTCGTGGACCACTGCTTGCGGCATCTCTGTTCCAGCATCGACGGCACCCTGTTTTGCATCGGGAGCAGCAGGGAGCGATACCGAAGCATCAACTTGTGTGAAATCGGCGGGAGTCGCACCTTCATCACCTACACCCACCATATCTTGCTCCACTGACCCAGTGGCAATCTGTTCCTCGTCGGGCAGGTCAAGGGGTGTCACCGCAGATTCCCCTTCTTCGAGACCAATAGAAACCGTCTTGTCCTCCACTACACCCACCTTTGCTTTCTTCACGGATACAGAGGCACCCTTTGCCTCGCCGGCCACGGAAGTGAGCGGTACCGCAGCGTCCCGCTCTTCACTAAGAGCGGCGGTCGGCGGGGCGTCGTCGACCACCGCTGGTGTAATGTCAATTCCGGCATCGGCGGTACCTTGTTCCTCGTCGGGCACGGCCGGGGATGGCACCGAAGCTACCGGTCCTTGAACACCCGCGACAGCCGCACTGTCATCAACTGCAGCCACTGTGTCTTGTTCTGCTGACCGAGAGGCGTGCTGTTCCTCGTCGGGCACGGAAGGGGATGATACCGCGGCATCCGCTTCTTCAAGTCCAGCGGGAGCCATGCTGTCCTCCACTACACCCTCCCCAGAAAGAGAGGCATCCTGTTCCTCGTCGGCCCCGGAGGTGGATGGTACCCCAGCGTCATGCTGCTCGTTGAGAGCGGGGGTAGGCGGATTGTCGTGGACCACCGCTGGTGGCATCTCCGTTCCGGCATCGGTGGCATCCTGTTTTTCATCGGGGGCGGCAGGGAGTGGTACCGAAGCGTCAGATTCTGTGAGATCGGCGGCAGCCGCGTTGTCATCACCTACAGTCACCGTTTCTTGCTCCATTAACCCAGAGGCAATCTGTTCATCATCGGGCACGGCAGGGAATTATTTCCCTTCTTCAAGACCGGCGAAAGCCTTCCTGTCCTCCACTACACCCACCATTTCTTTCTCCTCGGGTAGAGAGGCATCTGACTCGGCGGCCACGGAGGTAAACGGTAATGCAGCGTCCCGCTCTTCACCGAGAGCGGCGGTCGACGCTTTGTTGTCGACCTCCGATTGTGGCATCTCCGTTCCGGCATCGGCGGTACCTTGCCCCTCGTCTGGCACGGCCGGGGATGACACCGAAGCGTCCGGTTCTTCAACATCCGCGAGACCGGCGCTCTCGTCGACTCCACTCGCTGTGTCTTGCTCCACTGGCCGAGAGGCATCCTGTTCCTCGTCGGGATCGACAGGGAATGATACCGAAGCGCCCGCGTCAACACTAGCGTGAGCCGTGCTTTCTTCTGCTACACCCGCCATTACATTTTCCACAGACAGAGAGGCATCCTGTTCCTCGTCGGTCACGGAGTTGAATGGTACCGCAGCGTCCCGATCTTTACCGAGACCGGCGGTAGGCGTGTCGTCGTCGACCACCGCTTGCGAAATCTCCGCTCCGGCATCGGCAGCATCCTGTTTTTCATCGGGGGCGGCAGGGAGAGGTACCGAAGCGTCAGATTCTGCGAGATCGGCGGCAGCCGCGTTGTCGTCACCTACAGCGACCACTTCTTGCTCTATTGATCGAGTGGCAATCTGTTCCTCGTCAGGCACGTCAGGGAATGATACCGCAGATTCCCCTTCTTCGAGACCAATAGAAACCGTCTTGTCCTCCACTACACCCACCTTTGCTTTCTCGACGGACAGAGAGGCATCCTCTGCCTCGCCGGCCACGGAGGTGAACGGAACCGCAGCGTCCCGCTCTTCACTAAGAGCGGCGGTCGGCGCGCCGTCGTCGGCCTCCGATTGTGGCATCTCTGTTCCGGCATCGGCGGCATCCTGCTTCTCATCGGCGACGGGAGGGAGTAGTACCGAAGCGTCCACTTCTTCGACATCGGCGGGAGCTGCGATGCCATCGATTACAGCCACTGTTTCTTGCTCCACTGAACGAGAGAGGCCCTGTTCTTCGTCATGCACGGCAGGGGATGGTACCGACTCGTCTGCTTCTCCGAGATCGGTGGGAGCCGTGGTGTCCTCCATTGCAACAACCGCGTCTTGCTCGTTCATTCTGGGGATATCCCGGTCTCCGTCCGGCACGGAAGAGATGAGTGCCGGAGCGTCCGATTCTTCAAGACCGGTAGGAGCCGTATTGTCCTCGACTACAGCGGCAGACTCTTCGTCCACGGGCAGAGAGGTGTGGTCTGCCTCGTCGGCCACGGAGGGGGTTACCTCAGCATCCCGCTCTTCACTGAGAGCGGTGGTAGGTGTGCTGCCCTCGACCACCGCTGGTGTTACCTCCGTTGCGCCATCGGCGGCACCCTGTTTCTCATCGGGCACGACAGGGGAAGGTACCCAAGAGTCGGTGACTTCAGCATTGGCGGGAGTTGCGCTGTCGTCAACTACATGTACACCCGCCGTGTCTTGCTCGGCGAGTATATGGGCATCCTTGGTCTCGTCGGACACGGTAGGGGATGACACCGCTGCTTCGAGATCGGCGGGAGCTGCGCTGCTCTCAACTCCATCCACGGTGTCTTCCTCCACTGGCCGAGAGGCATTCTCTACCTTGTCGGACACGGAGGGAAACGGTACCGTAGCAGAGTCCTCCGCTTCACTGAGAACGGCGGTACGCGTGCCGTCTTGGACCACCGCTGGTGGCACCTCCGTTCCGGCATCGGTGGGATCCTGTTTCTCTTCGGGCACGGCGGGGGATGGTACGAAAGAATTGGCTTCTTCATCATCGGCGGGAGTCCCGATGTCGTCGCCAACAGCCTCCGTGTCTTGCTTCACGGGCAGAGAGGCACCCTCTGCCTCGTCGGACATGGCAGGAGATGATTCATTGAGATCGGCGGGAGCCACGCTGTCCTCCACTACGCCCACCTTGTCTTGCTCTATTGGCCGAGAGGGACCCTCTGCTACGTCGGCCACAGAGGGGAGCTGCACCGCAGTGTCCTCCGCTTCACCAAGAGCGGCGCTAGGTGTGCTGTCCTCGACCACCTCTGGTGGCACCTCAATTGCGCCATCGGGGGCATTCTGTTTCTCATCGGGTATGGCAGGAGATGGTACAGAAGAATTGGTTCCTTCAGCACGGGCGGGAGCCGCGCTGTCCTCCACTGTACCCACCGTGCCTTGCCCCACTGGGCGAGAATCATCCTCTGCCTCATCAGTCACGGAGGGCAGCGGTGCCGTAGTGCCCCCCGCTTCGCTGGAAGCGGCGGTAGGCGTGCTGCCCTCGACCACTGCTGGTGGCACCTCCGATCCGGCATCGGTGGCATCCTGTTTCTCTTCCGGCATGGCAGGAGATGGTACCGAAGAGTCGGCTCGTTCAGCATCGGCGGGGGCGGCACTGTCCTCTACTGCACCCACCGTGTCTTGCTCTACGGGTAGAGAGGAATTTTGTGCCTCGGCAGACTTGGCAGGGGGTGAAGCCGCTCCTTCGAGACCGGCGGGAGCCACGTTGTCCTCCACCACATCCCCCGTGTCTTGCTCCACTGGCCGAGAGGCATTCTCTGCTTCGTAAGACACGGAGAGAAGCGGTACCACAGCAGTGTCCCCCTTGTCGCTGAGAGCGGCGGTAGACGTACCGGCCTGTTTCTCATTGAGGGAGGCAGGGGGTGGTACAGAAGAGTCCAAATGTTCAGAGTGGGCGGGAGCCACGTTGTCCTCCACTGCAGAAGCCGTTTCGTGCTCTACGGGCGGGGGGGCATCCTGATCCTCGCTGGGCACTGCAGAAGAAGATGCCGCAGCATGGACATCTTCGAGATGGGCGGGAGCGGCGCTGTCCTCCACTACAGCCACCACTTCTTGCTCCACCGGTGAGGGGACATCTCGTTCCTCATCGGGCACGGGGGGGGATGCTCCCGCCTGGTCCCCGTCATCAAGGCCGGTGGGTGTCGAACCACCCTCGACACCATGCGGCATCTCTGTTCCCGTATCGACGCCACCCTGTTGCTCTTCAGGCACGACACGAGATGGTAGAGCGTCTCCCTCTTCAAGACCGGGCGGAGCGGCGGTATGCCCCGCCCCCCCTACCGATGCTTCCTCCGCCGGTGCAGGTTCACTCAGTTCCTCACTGGGCATGCCGAGAGATGGTGTCACCTGTTCCCCCTCTTCAAGACCAGCGGGAGCGGCGTTGTCGTCCACTACAGCCGCCGTTTCTTGCTCCAAGGACGGGGGGATCTCCTGCTCCTCTTCCAACACAATACGGGATGATGCCGGGGCGTGTACTTCCTCAGAACCGGTGGGAACGGCGCTGTTCTCCACTGCAGCCACCGCGTTGTTCTCCACCGGGTTCTGGTCCCTTTCTTCAACACCGGTGGGTGTCGAAGTACCCTCGACCCCATGCGGCATCTCTGTTCCAGGATCGACTCCATTCCGTTGTTCATCAGGCAAGACAAGAGAAGATAGAGCAACCTTCTCTTCAAGACCGGCCGGAGCGGCGGTACCCCCCACCTCCGCTACCGGTGCTTCCTCCGCCTGTGCAGGTTCACTCGGTTCCTCACCGCGCATGCCAAGGGATGGTATCGCCTGTTGCTCTGCTGCAAGGCCGGCGGGAGCGGCGCCGTCCTCCACTGCGGAAACTGGTTCTTGCGCCACGGGTGGGGGCCTATCAGGTTCCTCGTCGAGTACAGCAGGGGATGATGCCGCGGCGTGTACTTCCTCAGAACCGGTGGGAGCGGCACGGTTCACAGCTACCCCATGCGGCATCTCTGTACCCTGATCGACATCATCCCGTTGTTCGTCAGGCACGACAAGAGATGGCAAAGCGTCCCCCTCGCCAAGACCGGCCGGAGCGGTGGTATCCCCCACCTCCGCTAACGATGCTTCCTGCGCCGGTGCAGGAACATCCTGTTCATCACTGGGCATGCCAAGGGATAATGCTACCTGGTCCCCCTCTTCAAGACCCGCCGGAGTGAAGTTGTCCTCAACTACAGCCGTCACGTCTTTCTCCATGGACAGGGGGCTATCCCACTCCTCTTCCAACACGGCGCGGGGTGATACCGTGCCGCCTTCTTCCTCACGAGCGGCAGGGACGGTGCTGTCCTCCACTGCAGGCACCACTTCTTGCTCCCGCGGAGTCTTGTCCCCTTTTTCAACATCAGTGGATGTTAAACTGCCGCTGGCCTCATGGGAGTTCTCTGTTCCCGTATCGGCGCCATCCTGCTGCTCGTCAGAGACGACATGGGATGGTAGAGCGTCCCTTTCTTCAAGACTGGCTGGAGCGGCGCTGTCCCCCACCTCAGCCATCGGTACTGCCTCCGCCGGTGCAGGGGCATCCTCACCGGGCATGCCAAGGGGTGATACCTCCTGGTGCTCTGCCCCAAGGCCGGCGGGAGCGGTGGTGGCATCCGCTACGGACACCGGTTCTTCGGTCATGGACGGCGGGGTATCCCGTTCCTCGTTGAGTACAGCAGGGGATGATGCCGCCGCGTCTAATTTCTCAGAACCGGCGGGAGCGGTGCTGTGCTCCACTGCCGCCACCGCTTCTTGCCCCACAGATGCAGGGGTATCCCGCTCCTCGGCCAATACGGCGGGAGATGATGCCGTGGCGTCTTCGTCCTCAGGAACGGTAGGACCGGCGATGCCCTTCACTACAGCCACCCCTTGCTCCACCGGTGCGGGAACATCTCGTTCCTCGTCGGGAACTGCCGGGGATGGTACCGCCGGATCCCCTTCTTCAAGGCTGGTGGGTGCCGAACTACGCTCTACCTCATTCGGCATCTCTGTTCCCGGATCCGCGACATCCCGTTGCTCTTCAGACACGACAAGCGGTGGGAGAGCATTCCCCTCCCCAAGACCGAACGGAGCGGCGGTATCTGCTACCTCCACTACCGATGCTTCCTTCGCCGGTGAAGGAACATCCTCACTGGGCGTGCTAAGAGATAATGACATATGGTCCCCCTCTTCAAGACCAGCGGGAGTGGCGTTATCCTCCACTACAGCCAGCGTTTTGTGTTCCATGGACTGCGAGGTATCCCGCTCCTCATCCAACGCCGTAGGGGATGATGCCACAGCGTCTACGTCCTCAGAACCGACGGGAGCAGTGCTACCCTCCGCTGCAGCCACCTCTTCTTGCTCCACCGGTGCGTGGACATCTCGTTCCTCGTCGGGCAGGGCGGGGGGTGATACCGCCCGCTCCCCTTCTTCCACACCGGTGGGTGCCGAACTACCCTCGTCCTCATGCGGCATCTCAGTACCCGTATCGACAGCACCCTGTTGCTCAGGCACAACAAGAGACGGCAGAGCGTCCCCCTCTTCAAGACCGGCCGGAGCGGTGCTGTCTGTCACCTCTAGTGCCGATGCTTCTTCCTCCGGTTTAGGTCCATTTAGTTCCTCGTCGGGTTTGCCAAGGGATGATACCGCCTGGTGCTCTGCTGCAAGGCCGGCGGGAGCGGCACTGTTCTCCACCACGGACACTGGTTCTTGCGCCATGGACGGGGGGGTATTCCGTTCCTCGTCGAATGTGGGAGGTGATGCCGCGGTGTCTAATTTCTCAACAACGGTGGGCGCGGCAGTGTCGTCCCCTCTAGCTCGTGTTTCCTTCTCCATGGACGGCGGGGTATCCCGCTCCTCGCGCGATGCCATAGGGGGTGATGCCGCCGCGTTTACGTCCTCAGGACCGGCGGGAGCAGTGCTATCCTCCACTGCAGCCACCGCTTCTTGCTCCACCGGTGCCTGCTCCCCTTCTTCAACACCGCTGGGGACCGAACTTCCCTCGTCCTCATGTGACATCTCTGTTCCCGTATTGTCGCCACCCTGTTGCTCGTCCGGTACGACAAGAGATGGCGGAGTGCCCCCCTCGTCAAGACCGGCGGGAGCGACGCCATTTTCCACCTCGGCTGCCGATGTTTCCTCCGCCGGGGCAGAGACACCCTGTTCCTCACCGGACATGCCAAGGGATGGTACCACCTGGTGCCCGTCTTGACCCCCGGCGGGAGCGGCGCTGTCCTCCACGACAGCCGTCCGTTCCTGCTCCAGGGACGGGGGAGCATCCTCTTCCTCGTCCAACTCACTAGGGGATGATGCCGCGGCGTCCCCCACCTCAACTACCGATGTCATTTCCGTAGGCGCAGGGTCATCCTCGCCGATCATGCTGAGGGGTGATACTACCTGACCCCCCTCTTCAAGACCAAAGGCAGCGGCGCTGTCATCCACTACAGCCGCCGTTTCTGGCTCTACAGACGGGGGGGCATCCTGTTCGTCGTTCAATGCGGCGGGGGGCGATGCCGAATCGTCTACTTCCTCAGCACCGGCGGGAGCGGCGCTGCCCTCCACCACAGTCGCCGCTTCTTGCTCCACCGGTGCCTGGTCCGCTTCTTCGGCACCGGTGGGTGCCGAACTTCCCTCGAACACCAGCGGCATCTCTGTTCCCATATCGGTGCCATTCTGTTGCTCGTCAGGCACGACAAGAGGTGGGAGAGAATCCGCCTCTTCAAGAACGGCTGAAGCGAGGCTGTCCCCCATCTCCACCATCGGTGCTGCCTCCGCTGGGGCAGGGACACCCTGTTCCTCACCGGGCATGCCAAGGGATGGTACCGCCTGGCGCTCTCCTCCAAGAACGGCGGGAGCGGCGCCGTCATCTGCTACGGACACCGGTTCTTGAGCCATGGACGGGGGGTCGTCTCGTTCCCCGTCCAGTACAGCAGGGGATGATGCCGCGGCGTCTGCTTCCTCAGGAGCGACCGGGGTGGCGATGTCCTCTACTACAGACGGCATTTCCTGCTCAACGGACGGCGGGGTATCCCGCTCCTCGTCGAATACAGCGGAGGGTGATGCCACGGTGTCTAGCTGCTCGGGACCGGCGTGAGCGGCGCTGCCCTCTGCTGCAGCCACCGCTTCTTGCTCCACCGGTGCCGGGACATCTACGACGGGGAATGATTCCACCTGTTCCCTGTCTTCAACACCGGTGGGGGGCGAACTTCCTTCGACCTCATGCGATATCTCTACTCCCGTATCGACGCCATCCTGTTGCTCGTTAGGCACGACAACAGACGGTAGAGCGTCCCCCTCTTCAAGACCAGTCGGAGGGGCGCTGTTCTCTACCTCCGGTATCGATGCATCCTCCACCGGGGCAGGGACACCCTGTTCCTCACGAGGTATGCTAAGGGATGGTACCACCTGGTCCCCCTCTTCAAGACCAGCGGGACCGGCGCTGTCCTTCACTACCGCCGTCATTTCTGGCTCTACAGACGGGAAGGCATCCTGTTCGTCGTTCATTACGGCAAGGGGCGATTCCGAAGCGCATATTTCCTCAGGACCGGCGGGAGCAACGTTGTCCTCCACTGTAGTCACCGCTTCTTGCTCCACGGACGGAGGGGTGTCCCGTTCCTCGTCCAATACAGCGGGGGATGATACCGCGGTGTTTGCTTCCTCAGCACCGGCGGGAGCGGTGTTGTCCTCTGCTGCAGCCACGGCTCCTTTCTCAACCGGCGCGGGGACGTCTCCTCCCTCGTCGGGCAAGACGGGGGATGATACCGCCTGGTCCTCTTCTTCAACACCGGTGGGGGCCGAACCACCCTCGACCTCATACGACAGCTCTATGCCCGGATCGACGGCACCCTGTTGCTCGTCAGGCACCACATGAGATGGTAGCGTGTCGCCCTCTTCAAGGTCGGCCGGAGGTGTGGTATCCCCCACCTCCACTACCGATGCTTCCTCCGCCGGTGCAGGATCCCTCAGTTCCTCACCGGGCATGCCAAGGGATGGTACCACCTGGTGCTCTGGTCCAAAGCCAGCTGGAGCAGCGGTGTCATCTGCTACGTACACCGGTGCTTGCGCCATGGACGGCCGGGTGTCCCGTTCCTCGTCGAGTACAGCAGGGGATGATGTCGCGGCGTCTACGTCCTCAAGAGCGGTGGGAGTGGCGATGTCCTCCACTGTAGTCACCGCTTCCTGCTCCACGGACGGCGGGGTATCCTTCTCCTCGGCGAATACGGTCGGAGATGACGTCATGGCGTCTACTTCCTCAGGACCGGCGGGACCGGCGCTGTCCTCCACCGCAGCCACCGCTTCTTGCTCCATCAGTGCGGGGACATCTTGTTCCTCGTCGGGCGCGGCAGGGGATAATGCCGCCTGATCCCCGTCTTCAACGCCGGTGGGTGCCGACCCACCCTCGACCTTATGGACGACCTCTGTTCCCGTATCGGCGCCATGCCGTTGCTCGTCAGACGGTACAACGTCCCCCTCTTCAAGACCGATGGGAGCGGTGGTATCCCTCGCCTCCGCTTCCAGTGCTTCCTCCGCCGGTGCAGGTTCACTCAGTTCCTCACTGGGCATGCCAAGGGATGGTTCCGACTGGTTCCCCTGTTCACCGCCGCCGGGAGCGGCGCCGTCCGCCACTACAGCCGTCGTTTCCAACACCGCGGGAGGTTGGGCACCCTGTTTCTCGTCGAATACGGTAGGGGATGATCCCGCGGCGTCTACTTGCTCAGGACCGGCGGGAGGGCCGTTGTCCTCCACGGTAGCCACCGTTTCTTGCTCCGCCGGTCCCTGCCCCCCTTCTTCAACACCAGTAGGTGCCGAACTACTCTCGGCCTCATGCGACATCTCTGTTCTCGGTTTGACGCCACCCTGTTGCTCGTCAGGCACGACAAGAGACGGTAGAGCATCTCCCTCTTCAAGACCGACCGGAGCGGTGCTATCTCCCGCCTCGGTTACCGATGTATCCTCCGCCGGTGCAGGCTCATCCAGTTCCTCACCGGGCATGCCAAGAGATGATATCACCTGGTGCTCTTCTGCAAGACTGGCGGGAGCGGCGTTGTGCTCCACTACGGACACCGGTTGTTGAGCCACGGACGGCGGGGTATCCCGTTCCTCTTCGAGTACAGCAGGGGGTGATGCCACGACGTTTACATGCTCTGAACCGGCGGGAGCGGCGCTGTCCTTCACTGTAGTCACCGGTTCTTGCTGCTCGGACAAGGGGTCATCCCGCTCCTCGTCGGGAATGACAGCGGATCGTGCCGCGGCTTCTACTTCCTCAGGACCGACGGGGGTGATGCTGTCCTTCACTACAGCTACCAACTCTTGCTCCGCTGGTGCAGGTACATCTCGTTCCTCGCCGGGCACGGCGGGGGACGATACCGCCTGATCCCCTTCTTCAACACCGGTGGGTGCCGAACTACCCTCAGCCTCATTCGCCATGTCCGTTCCCATATCGGCACCATCCTGTTCCTCATCGGGCACGCCAGGGGACGATACCACCTGGTCCCCGTCTTGATCACCGGTAGGAGCAGCGCCGTCCTCCAGTACAGTCGTCGTTTCCTGTTCCATGGACGGCGAGGTATCTCGTTCTTCTTCGAGTGTGGCAGGTGATGCTGCGGTGTCTAAATCCTCAAGAGCGCCGCGAGTGGCACTATCCTCCACTACAGCCGTCGTTTCCTGCTCCACGGACGGCGGGGTATCCCGCTCCTCATCCAACGCCGTAGGGGACGATGCCGCGGCGTCTACGTCCTCAGAACCGACGGGAGCAGTGCTACCCTCCGCTGCAGCCACCGCTTCTTGCTCCACCGGTGCGGGGACATCTCGTTCCTCGTCGGGCACGGCGAGGGGTGATACCGCCTGCTCCCCTTCTTCAACAGCGGTGGGTGCCGACCCACCCTCGACCCCACTCGATATCTCTACTCCCGTGTCGACGCCATCCTGTTGCTCGTCCGGCAAAACAAGAGACGGTAGAGCATCTCCCTCTTTGGTAGCGGTTTCAGCCATCTCTTCTCCCAGCGATCCAGGACGACCCAACCCAAGATCAGCAAGAGCACCATCGGCTGAATCGCCCGCGTCTTGTTCCAGTTTCGGGGGCTCTGTGCTGTCGATCGTTCTGGACGTTGGTCCCCTTTCTCCCTCAAGGTTTTCCGCCATCGTCGCCATTTCACTCCCAACACCAGTTGGCCGCAGTTCCACGTCTTCTCGACTGGACGGGAGGTCTTGCAGGCGCAGGTCAAGATTAGGACTAGAATGGACGCCGGGCGTAGGGTGATGCCCACCGATAGCTGCTGCCGGCATTTCTTCGCCTTGGGGAGTAGAACGATCCAATCCCGAGTCACCGGAAGCAATGTCGGATGATTTGGAGGTTTCTCCGGAAATTTCAGCTTTATCGGACGTCTCGCCCTTCCCGTTGGTCCCGTCTCGTCCTGTCCACTCAAGAATACCAGTATTGACATCTATGAAATGTCCAGAAAGTGAGATCCTACGGTGAGTATCGTCATGTGGCGAAGACTCGGGACGCGCCTTTTTGGCTTCAAGGAGGAGCGCTTCTTTCGCTTCCGACACCGCGAGTGCAACTATCTCGCCGGCGAGAACCAATACATGATCGTCCTCGGGTGTCGCCGGTGCTACCCCTCGCGCGCCGGACACACCGCCGGTGGGTTGCTGCTCGTCAAGCGTGCCCTTCGCCGAGACCATTGGTGCCGGCTCCGCGTTGTCGCATGCGGCAGAAGAATAAGTCCTGTCGCCCTCTTGTTCTTGTGCTGCTCCGGGAAGCTGAGGTTCGGTAGACGGCTCGTGTTGGAGCATCAATGGCTCGTTCTCGCTCATCATGGTCGGTAAGGGTGGCACACTAGGTTCTTCTGCCACGCTTGTCTCTTCCGCCGTCTCAGCTCCAGGCCCCTCCTGTTGCACTACTCCCGCTTCTTGGACTGCCTCGGGACTCTGCGGCGGCGTCGAAATTTTGCGGTCGTCATCATCTTCCACCGCAGAGCAGTCCCCATCGGATGACGCAAGTTCTGTCTTAACCCCACTCTTCTCCGCTTCCGCCGACACGACCGCCTTCTTGAGTTGATGCTCGGTCCCAGAAACCGAGGGTTCCTCGTTTACGTCGGAGACCTTGTCAAGCTCATCCAGCCCCTCGCCGCGAAGTTCATTGTCTTCGCCTGGCGTTTCAAGCGGCGCGAAGTCAGATCTCCATTCTTCTTCCTCGTGCGACTCGTCGCCCATCATGTTGATATCAGCAGCATCAACTGCCAAGGTACCCGCCGACCCATTATCCAGGACAAAGTCAGACTTGAAAACTTCTTCCGTTGCCTGCCCAGGAACCTCAGGTTCTTCAGCGTGTGCTTCGTTTTGCGCTGGCTGATTTTCTTCGGCGGGGGCAGCTAGACCGCTCTCGGGCTCACCCCCCAGCGAAAAACCAGATTTGAAGACATCTTGCCCTTCTTCCGCTCTGCGATCTACCACCCCCTCCTCCTTGGTATCACGCTCTTCGCCTACCCGAGCCATGGTTCCCTTGGCAACAACCAGAGCATCCACCGGCTCATCGTGGAGCAAGAAATCAGACTTGAAGTCGGATTCGAAGTCGGATTTCCATGCCTCCTCTTGTCCTCCTCCTTCTGCCGATTGCTGCTCAGCAGACGCTGAGTGCGACGAGTCAAGCGTGGGATCGAATTCGGACGGGTGTTCTTGTTCGTCTGATCCTTCAGGGGGAGAATCATCATCGCCATGGTTGTCCACGCCGCGACTCGATCCATCTTCTTCGTCGCTCTTTTCTTCAGGCCCAGTCGGTGTCTTTGCCACGCCAGCCTCGAGTCGCCTGATCTGCGCCTGAACGACAACGAAGCTATTGATCTGCTCATTGACATCGAGGGCTAACCGGGCCGCCACATCGTCCGGGGCGGAAAGGCCCGTCAAAAACTCAACATGTTTCGACGACGCATGCCCGGCTTGAACCGAAAGGTCGCCGCCCTGTTGGTGCTTGTACGGCGGAATCGACCCTTTGTCGTTGTCTGAAGCACCACCAGCGTACCCGGAGTCTCTCGGATTGTTTTCGATGCCGTAAAGGTCGCTAGTACTCGTATCCGTTTCGAGTCGGTGAAGCAGAGTCCGGCTGGAGTTACCCCTGGCCACCTTCTGGATCATGGTCGCGGCGTTTTCTTCGGCGTGGGCTTCGCGGCGGTGCTGATCAGCGAGGATCTTAGCGCGGCTCCTACCCCGCCGTCCTCTCGCCGTTCTCTGGATCAAAATCGCGGCGCTCTTCTTGTTTCGCAACTCGAGCGTGCTGTGCCTGGCTTTTCTTCCCCGGGCTAACGCTGCTATCTTGGCCGAGGCATCGTATCTACGTTTCTTCAGTTCGCGAACTTGTGCCTGTGTGGCATGTTTCGTTTGTGGGAAGCCGGCGGGGCTGAGTATAATGGCGGGAGGTTTGATACCGCAAAGAGATTTGGCCGCGTGGAGGAGAGAGAAATGTGCTTTGAAACGCCAACGCTCGTTGCGCGTTTGTCGGGCGTGTAAGGCAGCGTTGGCTACAGTACCGCGGAGCGCCGCCCACAGGTTTCGTATGCCAATGTGGACTCTGTTCGTCCAGTTATACTCTACTTCCAAAGCTTCTCGTCACTGTCACTGACCCTGGCACGTTTCCCTTGGGCGGCAGCCTGTATTTTGATGGCTGCCTGCCGCTGCTGGTCAGCCTTCCTCCGTTTTACCACGCGTAGTGCTTCGCGGCGATCCTCCGCTCTCGCCCGTGCGGCTTGTTGGCGCACCTGGAGCTGTATGCGGCTCTGCAATGGGTTGACAACGTGTTTGATAAAGGTACGTATTATTCGGACGGCTCCGTCAGCTGTGTGGTGAAAACGGCACTTTGTGATACCCCCGCTTGACCCAGTTGTTGAAAATAGAGAGCACCTCTTCCATGTGGGGCTGCGATGGCGCCCAAACGTGGACAGCTTAATGAGAATTGTCGCACGTGTCTCTTAAAACATCAACCAGAGCCAATGATTTAACCTTACCCTCACTTTTGTCGCGACGATGCTGAAGACCCAACTCGACAACGTGCAGAGGGAATCACGCGAAAATCATTGTCGCCAAGCCATACCAAGGAGAGAACAGTGCATTAACCTAGGGTCTGGTTTCACCATGAGCCGATTATGACAAAAAAATATTTGCCAAACTATGCGCGTTCTGAGTTGCCCCAACGCCAGATTTGAGCACACAACGACCGCTAATCTGGGAAGCACTGAGCAAGAGAATCGAGGGCAACACATCGTAAGCAAGAGCGAGCTGCTGCGTATGTACTCACCGCCGCCTCCTTCCTCTTGCGCCGTTTGTTCGCTTCGATTCTCGCAGCTCGGCCGCGAGCTAGATGTTGAAGCTGCAAGGCCGCTTGGTCCTGTTCTGCTTTCTGTTGTAAAAGAGCCGCCTGCCTGAGGTCCCGTCTTACAATGGCCTCCTTCTTGGCACCTCTCGCGCGAGCGAGGCTTTGAATTCTGTGCCGCGACGAACGAGCTTGGTTTGTCGGCAAACGAATGACACGTCGTCTCAATGACAAATGCTAAAAAAACAGATTTGGGGAGAGCGTGAACCTAACGTTTGTTTGTCACAGTTGACAGTGTACCGTGCTTGCTGCTTTCAAGAAAACCGATAGCGAAACGTGCAATTATTGAGTAGAGTTGTTTCAGGGCTATGAGCACAGAGATGAACAACAGGCAAGGGGTGCCATTCACCGGCAGCTTAATGCACACAGTGTTGAGTCCCGTCAACACCACAATGACGATACAGCCAAAGAACGAGGGCACACACCTGCAAGCTGGTCGGACTACTCCTCACACACTGTACCTGACAATCGCCTCGTCCTCTTCCCGTCTCTGAGCCAACCTGGCCTCTTCGCGAGCGTTTTCTTCTCGGGCCGCTAGTTCTCGCTCTTCCTCCTCCTTCTCCTTGCGAGCCAATTCCGCCTTAGCCTCATTCCTTCCGAACATGCGAGGGGTCGGCGCAAACGATGGAAAATAAATACTGAACTCACGCATGCATACACCGAGTGATACTTCGGGCAAGACAGCACGGCGCCAAAACGGTGTGCGAGGAAATCCTTATCGAAAAACCTCTAGTAACATGGCCGAGCGTCAACGAGAGAGAATGTTTCTGGCATCGTTCGTAAGAATCACTTTAAATACAAACGGAATTCCTTGATCCTTAGGTCGCACCACGGGGTGGTGGCTTTTACTCATCCAACAACAATAGGCCCAAGGAAGTCCCACATTGACTCTGAGGTCTGTCGCAAAATATACAGTTGAGACGGAACGCAAGCAGTTGAAACTGGCTGTATACCTGCGCTGATCCTGACGTTCTTTTGCCTCCTTTTTCGCCGCCGTGGACCTTGCAGACGTTTGGATGCGCGTAGCGGCAACGCGTTGGTCACGGCGACGGGAAGCTTCTCGTCTGGATTTGCGTGACCGCGCCATCGACTGTATTTTAACCGCCTTGTCCCTGTGTGGGGTTCATGCCGGGGTGATGAGTGGTTCAGTCAAGACATGTTCAGTTATCCCAAAGCGAGTGCTCGCGTCTCCAGTGGACACACGAGATTATATATACCCAGAAAGGAGGCGAGTTGGAATTGACGGTTCGAATTATGAGCATAGGTGAAACGCAGTTGGGATTGTACAGGTGAGGTCGAGCAACAATTGGCATGGGTTCGAGAGGGGTTGAGATCGGACGATGCATTCGCAATCGCACGTTCGCTGCTGGACGCATGCACAAGATTTTTTGCTTGCAACCAGCGATCAAGTAAATAGATTGATGAATCTGCACGCCATGCCCGGCAGATGGCCCTCCAAACGTTCATTGTACGTGCGCATGCAGTTCATGGTCAAGTCCGCGATCCACGCAGTGATAGTGATGCGGCGGCGGCGGCGGTTGCTTCGCTTTATCTCTACCAGGCCAGCTGATCGAAAAAGCGGCGAATTCCCCCTGTGCCCTAAAAAGGACCTACGCTCATTTCGTGTTCTCAAGAAGACGTCCGGTGCAGCGGCACTCGGCAATTAACTACGTGGAATTTTGGTGCTTACCTACGAATATACTGGGAACCTCAACAAGTCCGCATGTCACAGAAACTCCCAAATGTGAATGCAATTTCATCAACGCCAACACTTAGCGCACAACCAACGCTCAAAAGCAACGGTGGAACATGCAGGTGAACCACGAGACGAGGTGAAGACGAAAGAGGACATGTCGAAAACTCTACGAGGAAGGAAGGTTAGTGCTCACCGACGGTAAGCACGGCGGCCGAGCTCATTCTTGGCGGCCTTCCGGCGAGCACATTGCTGGATCTTACAGGCTCTTTGGTGCAACTCAAGCCGCTCCCGAAAGAGAATTCTGGCCCGGTATCCCCTGAAAACCTGCAGTGTATATGCCATGCCGCCCCCAGAGAAAAGCAGACGGCATTGTACGCACAGGTATGGAGTAGTCTGTGTCTTTAGCATGCCGTCAATAGGACTGTAATACAGACTGTTTCAAGTAAGACTCAATATAACTATCGGAAGAGCATATTATCTCTCAATGGCTGCTCCTTTGAACTACGTGCGCTCATGGTTTTCGCGTGTGGTAACGAAAAACATATACGAACATCAAAATATAGCTGGCAGGGCCGGGTAGGTAGGTACCCATGTCCTTCCTGGCGCTGCCTACTAACCGAAAATAAATTACTGTAAATGCCACAGAAAGAGGGGGTATCTGGTTGTAGCGAACACCTCGAGGTTCGACGTTTCCGCAGTATTGAAAAACCAAAGTGGCTATCGCCCTCCCTCGTAGTCGCGGTGGGCAAGCCCTCGCCTAACCAGCCGTAAGAAAGAGCTACGTCATAAATCCAAAGCCCACTTGCCAGCTAGGGACGCTATGTTGCCCCCCGGTGCGATTGCTCTATACTTTCGGAAAGAATCACCCGCACATACCTTGGTGATGAGAGTGACTTTCGATGCTGCCAGGAGCATAACCTGCAGTTCGATTGCGACAGCATCAGTACCAGGCGAGTCGTCTCACGGAGAAGCACAAGACAAAATGGGTTGCGTTGACGGCAGAAAAGTCGTTTCACACGCATCCAGAGAGCTGAAACGTGCGTGGGAGCTACTCTTGACATGAACTTCGAGCGAAGAAAAATGCCCTTGAAACGCGCAGAACTCGCACATTTTTTATATGTACGTGGTAGATGTCTCGACAGCCCCATCGGAAAGAAAATATTAAACGCAGACGACGCCCGTGAAGCACCAAAGATTATCACAGGTCCGAATACACAGTCCGAATACACCGTCCGAGGCTATGTGGAGGCAACAAACTACCCCGAACCCAAAACAACTGTAAGCCACCTGTTCTTGGATCGTGCGCCGTGAAGCAGCGGAGACTACCGCAGGTCCGAATGCAACATCCTAGGCTATGTAGAGGCAACAAACTACTGTCACGCCGAACCCAAAACAATTGTAAGCCACCTGTTCTTGGATCGTGCGACGCCGCGCGTCCTTAGCCTCGTCGAAGCTGACGGAGATCCTCCTCGAATGGTGTGGTTGTACCCCTCCGGTCGTGAGTGAGGACGAGCTCACGCTACCGGCACCGGCACCAAGCACAACTCCGCCCGGAAGACGGGATGAACCGCTGCCGTTTCCCCCACGCTGTGCTCCATCTACCGCCATCGGTGTCAAGGAGAGGGGAAAGGCTTGGGTGAGGTAAGGGTCAAGTCCACGGGAAACGGCGCCAAAACGAAGCGTGAGATGGCAGAGCGGGCATCCGAACATACCGCTGGGAAAGTCAAGAGCTTCGGAAAAGAGCGTCCACATAGCTCGGCACTCACATCCAGCGTTGGGGTCAAACGATGACGAGGACGCGGGGTTCTGGAAGGTCGAGGATGACAGGCTGCCGTCCGCCCCGCCATGTTTCGAAAAAGCAGAGTCGGGGCTGCCGGATGAAGAACCACGAAGGTACGCCTGCTAGAGTGTTTGCAACCGCAGTCCGTTTGCATGTGCGTCGCGGAAGGCACGTGAGGAAGAAGCACAGAATCGAAACGTCATTGAAGTGCATGCCGCGTGCGGAACAAGTTTGTCGGCGTGTTTTCATTACGCCACGTGATGTTACGAGCGAGCGATCAGGAGCCTTCAGCCGAGATAGGTTGCAGTTCTGCGGATCCTCACCTACTCTCCCATTGTTGACAAAACAAATCGTGTCCCGTACTAAGGATGACAACCGGAGAGCCCCCTGTGCAGCATCTCTCTCCCTCCCGCATCGTATCGCACCAGGGTCCCCTTGCTTACCTCGGTATTCCAAGCCCCCCCCTGCAGACTCTCCCAACGATGTAGCACGCCGCCGCCACCATGACTCGCACCCTGCTCCGTTAGGGGTTCACACGCCCGCAGAAACACGCGCATCTCGCCACTGCCACCACCCTGGTCCGAGAGCTGATCAGAGTCGCTACGGCCAACCGCCGCCGCCGCACCCGTAGCCTGTAAGGCGGGATCAACAGCAATGTCTTTTACGGAGAGTCTCTCTTCTTGACCGGGGTCAATGGCGACGCCGTCGGCGTAGCAGAAGGTGAACGGCGGACACAGGTCGCCTCTGCCACGTCGTCCATTCCCATGCCTATGCCCGGCGGCGCTGTTGGCGCTGGTCTCTTCTGCCCAGTGTGTGTCGCGAGCAACGTCGGCCTGGATCGCGGCGCGGAGGAAGCTCACGCTGTCGAAGGCCGACATGTCCACGGTGGACACCTGGAGCGCGGTCGAAGGCAGGGAAGATTCATGGAAAAAAGCATAAACGATTCTCTTGTTGAACGATGAGTGAGCGTGGACGAATGTCCGAGCGTCGTGAATCACTCAGAGAAGGTATCCACGGTTTTCCGCGAACGGCAATTATTGTGCAGCTGCATGGTGTTGGCGAATTTGGTGGTGCGTCCTGATCACTTCGTGTCTGAAACGAAACACAACCGTCTGTCCTCCACAAGCGTTCACGACGGTCAAGCGAACCCTAGACGTATCGATGGTCCTGTCGGTACAGTTAGGAATCACGGGCCCCCCTGCACGGTACATCTACACTGGGCCGAGGATTCTCTTGGGGTTACCTCGTGACCAACGCTCGAGTCCGGTAGGATCAGGAGCGCACGTACAGGCACCAAGTCCGACCGCCTCCTGACGTGGCTATAACCCGCATGATTGTGATTGCTATCGTGCCCAAAGATAGCCGAGGTGTTCGAGGTACTTCTGTGCGGTGGAGGGCTCGTCGAACGAGAAAGCTCTGGAAGGCGATCACGATTATACCCTGAAAAAAACGACAGCAGGTGATGGTAGGATGTATGATAAATCAGTGATTCCAGGGTATGCGAGCATATTATGCAGTACGAGGGGTAAACCTAGCGAGATGAACAATGTGCAGACAACGAAACGTTCTTCATGGCGTGGAGCGGCCAGAATCTTGCTGGAAACTACTGTCGTAGAAAGGATATACGACAGTCTTACATTGGTGTGGGTTTCAAACTGGTGTTACCATTCACCCCCTTGCCTTTTAGGGGATGGTCTCTTGAGACATTTGGGGGCATAACGTACTTGCTGGTTTACGTCGGACACACTACACTTCGATATGATAGAGGGCGCGAAAAGTAGGAGTTAGAATACCGGGATGGAACCAAGGGTGGAACTGCTTAACCAAGGGTCTGTGACCAATTCAACTCGACTACATAGGTAAAAGAGTACTTGGGTTCAAGTTTTTCGAGAGCGTGAGCACAAACGAATTTTGAGCGGGCCCTTCAAAATATATTGAAAGGAATTACATTTCTCCAGAGCTGACGGGGAATTTTCCAGGGGTCGCATAGCACGTCACGCATTGATAGGTTGTTCCCAGAAGCTTCGTCTCAAGGGCTGGTTCTGGGGGAAACTCTCGGAATAACCCCGACAGCAAGTTACCTTCGGCAGCATCCGAGAGAAACCCACCCGGGAATCGAGATCGCTTCCCGGTTTGTCCACCGTCGAACATTGTTTGCACAGCAGGTGCCGTCCTCGGCCGGCGGCCCGGCACCTGGTGGGACCAAGAGCAGTGCGAGACGATTGTCGTGGGAAACGGGAGTTACCATTAAATCTACGATGTTTCAGACCCTTTATTGGAAGGCGCGTTGAGTGTCACACGGCATGGGTTTGGAACGTACGACATGCCGCAAGGTACGAGGACTTCGAGCGAAGAGGAGTGGTATCTCGGACTTTGACGGCTTCGTATCTGTTGGCATGAGGCAGTCCAGATTCAAACGTGTTCGTTGAGAACGGAGTACCAACGTGAGACGGTTTTTTAGTGAAACACGTTGTGTTTTGGAAACGGAATAGATTTTCTCAAGCTTGTGGAGGTTCAATTCTGCGGCAAACGTCTCATTCAGAGGTTGACGTCCGGGTGAGCGAACCAGCAGAAAATAGAAATTGCTTCATAACAACTCGCAAATGAACAGCTTCAAAATGTGCTTCTGGAGCAGTTTACCTGGCCATTGCCCAACGTGTTCGATGAAATCTCAGCATCGCCCCATAGATTTCCGGCTGACGAGGAGGAGAGACCTGCGTGCCTGGGGATTCGGCTCCTGATCGGACCTGCAGACCTAGTGGTCGCTCGCGCCGGCGGTGGATTTTCCCAAATCCTGTATGGACGCATGTCGTTCGGAACACCAACAGACGCTCATGAGCAAGTGTTTCGGAGAACCTTCCAGAAATAGGTGTTTGCAACCACCATTGTGGAAGTGTAGCATATGTACCATGATTTACGTGGAGTACGGTAGACGTCTCCATTCAAACAAACGACGACATGGCGAGAGGCATCATCGTGGGACGTATCGGTAAACCCGAGTCATGGAGACGGAGTAGCAGCAGTTGAACCCCCAATAAAGATTCGAGAGACCCAGCGACGCCCCCAGTATACTGAGCACTACATGCGTTGACACGAGATTCGTACGTTTTACAGCCAGCCGAGCGCTCAAACATGTGCCCCTGAAGGTTGGGGAATATATGCTATTACAGCAGTACAACGGAGAAAAAATGCACGACATCACAGGAGGTACCGGGGAGAGCGGGATGCAAGTAAGTATGGTGTGTCTCAATCAACAGTTACTTGTGGGATACCTGGAAGTGGAAGAACGGGGTGCCGCTTGCCCGACTGAGCGACGGCCGTTTCCACTTCCAGATCGCGTACCCATCAGCGCGACGCTGCCGTCCAAGCCTCGTTCCAAGAAACCCTCAATCCGATAACTCCGTTGAGCCACCGCCGCCGTCCTTGTCCTCCTCGTAGCTACCTCGCCGCGGTCAGTTCTGCCATCCCGGTTCGACCTCTCGTGTAACACCCCTGTAGACGGAAACCCCGGCGCTGCACCGCTGTACGCTGAAGGTTCCAACCGTGTCGATTTTTGATCGAAGTTGCTGCTGCGAGGGACCCTACCTGCAGAACCCCGGCTTTTGATACCGAAGCGCCGACGAACGTGCGCGATTTCGGCCCGATATATCGCCGTCGGGTCTCGTTTTTGATTACGCTGCTGAGGCGGAAACACCAGGCTTCCGGCGTCACCGGCCCAGGACGTTTCGTTGGCGTTGAGGTAGGACTGCAGGCTCGGCGATAGCACATTCGAACTTTCTCCACGCGAGGAGTTAGAGGCCGCGTGGTGGCTGTTGTAGTCTGAGAGGTGCTCCCACCCGCCCTGTGGTTCATTTGTCAGCAAGGTGGGAAGCAAGAGGCAAGAAATGTACGAATTGTCACTTACGAGCATTATCTTTCGCGCCCAAAGCTTGGCGCCGACTGACTTGATAGTCTAGTCCAGTAGGGTACACTGGTACGGTGTGCACTCAAACCAAGGCTGCACGTGTCTTCTTCCCGGGCAGGTATTAGGAAGTGAGATACATCTCGTGCTGATACAGTAGTCCATGAGCTCGACTGCAATCCATTGTCTCAAATGTTCTACAACACATAATTCATATGCATAGCCTAGATTATGGGCAACACCATGATGCGCCCATGAGGCGGCTCTGTTGTACGAGTCGCGGTGTTACTGGTGTCCATACACACCGGGGCTACCATTGCATGGGTTCCGATTGTGGATGATTGATTGGGCTGTTGTAGAAATGGGTTACACTGGGGGCCCCGGTTTAGCGACCCCTAGTGTCACGACGAAATATGGTCGCTATGCAGGGCATGTCGCTAAACCCGGTTTAGCGACCAACCGGGAGCCTCCATAGCGACTAGCGGTCGCTAAACAGGGAAAAAGCGCCATTTCGTGGGACTAAAGGCCGTGTTGCAGAAATCTTCTTGACCGGGTCATGTGTGCGTCGTATTGCAGTAGTCACATGAAGGTAGAGGAAAGAAGAAACACCTTTGGGTGGACAACCGGGGAGTAGTTCCTATACGGAATGCGTTCAATCAACCAGCAAGCTTGTTGTACCTCCCAAGTTTAGGAAATGTCTCAACAACAACTGTATAGAGAGTGCCTTGTGTCTTTCCCGCATGCTGAACAATCTGTACATGTACAAGGCTTTTTGGCGGCTTACGCCGCCACGCTGAGAGAAGCGTACCGCAAGACGAATGTTACTTGGTGTTTGATGCACGATGTTAGTCGGCGTTTAGTGAATGGGGCTTCGTTTGTGGCATGCCGTGGCTGTGAGATTCCCGTGAAGTACGTTCCCATGAATATACTTAGGGTTGCTTGCATGCATGTGAGAAACGGAGATAAACGAAGCCCGCCCTGAAAAGATCCCGGAGAGAGATGACGGAGAGAGATGAAGTTCTTGTAGACATGCATGTTCGGCGCGTACATGCGAGATCCCAGAGGGACGAACGCGTGTATTTTGAAACATGTGAAAGTCCGACGTGTCAGAGAGCAGACTACTGGCTGCCCGAAAGAGAGAGAGACTGGCCTAAAGCCCTGTGAGAAGCGCAGTTACACGATGAGATGTATTTCTTGTGGTGGATGGGGAGCAGAGGAAAGCGCCTAAAAACGGTTCCTTCCTCGCCTGAGTTTCAGACAGAGAGAGATCGAAGGGACAGACCGGCAGCCCATGTGTGATCGAATGGAAATCGGAAAAGAGACCGGTGTGTTCGGAATAAATAATCCGGTATAAGAAAAGAATTGTAGAAGAGAGAGAGAGAGAGAGAGAGACACACACACAGACAGACAGACAGACAGACAGACAGACAGACAGACAGACAGACAGACAGACAGAGACAGACAGACAGACAGACAGACAGACAGACAGACAGATGTAATGGAGCAACTAGTGTATTTGCATTGTACGAGCGTTTCATGAACGTTGTATGAGCGCTTATTGGATATTTTGAATTTTCTTTGGATATGGATATTTGGCGACGTTGAGGGGTATTGAAGTAGCTTGAAGGAAGATCAAAATCCCAGCCCCGCTCCCTCACTCTCCGAGTGGGCGCTGAGCGGACCTGGTCTAAGAAGGCTAAACAAGAGATCAAACAACAACTGTGAGTACCCGAAGCCAGGAGCAACGAACTTGCTCCCTTCCCTCTTTTATTTCTCTGTTCCTCCATAACACAGACAGAGAGACAGACAGACAGAGGAAACAGTAACAGGGCGAGCGAGAGGTAACCAAAAGCCGAGACGGTGTGTGGGAAAGAAGATGTGTGGAACGAAAATCGAAGCGAGAAAAGAGTAAAAACGATGATCGTGAGATGGCCTGAACATTCGGAAAATGCTGATTGGTGAGAGAAAATGCTGCTGTGTGAGAGCCCGAAAAAACGGAATACTGAGCTCTCAGCCGTCCACGCGGAAAATGAATGGAACGTTCTCACGGAATTCCTAACTGATACAACTGTTACATAGACCAACACAAAATAAACACGTATAGTCTAAGTAAGTCCGATCTGCGAATTACAACAAGACAAAGGTGGGAAAGGGGAAAAATTCATGGCAACGTCCCCCAAAAAACAATAATGAAAACACCACATAGCACGGAGATAGTTCGTGAACGAACGCCCAAGCGGCAAAAAACCTCGCGCTGCTAGTGACTTCATTCTGCTACTATCGCGTGTACCGATCATGTTAAACTAAACATTTCTCATATGTCCGTCTGTCGCGCTGGTTTCGCGGAGTGTGCTTCGATAAACAACACCTTTGTCTTGCGAAGATAATACGATGCCTCGCTACAATAACTCCACACGACTCCGCGCACTCTTCTGGCGATCCAACAGGCGACGAAAGCTCCGAGTAGGGCGGCGGCGCCATCACTTCCCCACCCCCGCACCGCCACCTCTCCATCTACCTCTATCTCTCTTTGCGTTTGGGTGGATTCGAGACGGGTGGGGAAGCCTGCACGTTCTTGGATACACACTCGTGGCGGGTGCGGTGCATCGATCGATGCTCCACCTCCTCACACATTTGGTGCAGGCGTCCACCGCAGCCACCATGGCAAACATGCCCCTGGGGTGCCCGCAGTTCAACATCCGGCTGTTTGTACAACTCTCCAATCGGCGCACGGCATGTTGCGTGTGTGTACGTGTCACGCGGTGTTGTGTCTTTGTGTGTGGAGGAACGCGGGGTCTCCCCAAAATTTGAACCGATGGTCGCTAATGCCTGATGAAAACAGCCCAATAAGTTGCTATTGAGGGTTCGACCGGTTTAGCGACCACTGGTGGCTAAACCGGCAACCGGGGTGCAGCGGTGTCACGAGATTTGGGGGTCGCTAAACAGGTCATGTCGCTAAACAGGGGGTCGCTAAACCGGGGGCCCCATTGCTGTATGTACAAAGACACACGCCGCCACCTCCCGTGCTACTGCAATCAGCTGCGATTTTCGCTGCTGTGTGTTCAACGACCCACCGTGTTCGGCCCGCCCTCAAAAGATGGCCCATGATGAGTGTGGCGCACTCCAAGCACAAACCAACGAAATCATGAGGAGCGTCGCAACATGAACCTAATCGTCACCCAAGTACTGCTGTGTAGGCCGTGCGATACTCTTCGTGCATGTTACGCATCGATACATTTGAACGTCATCGTACTGTAGTTTTTTGCGAACGAACGTGAGAAGCCAAGGCCTAACTGACCTCAAAAACGTCCACGTCCATTGCCAAAAAGTTGATTCCAACTCCGGGAAAGGGTGGAGGGGAACGCAGAGTCGCTGAAATGCTGTGTGTCGCCCTCGTGTGTGTAGAAGGGGCTCGACATGCTGCACAGCGCAAACGCGCATGCATGCGCCAAATGCGGCGGGATTTCTGGGGGCGTTTCGCAGCCAGCCAATCACAATCTCGCCGCCGCCGTTCGCCATAACCTACAGACTTACACACAAAGCATTTCCAGGTTTCCAGGGGATAGGCATAGGAACATGGGCGGTGAGACTAGGGCGACTGAAAGGAAGGGCTTATTTACTTCACACTTACAGTTGGATTCGAAATATGTGTCTACGACACATTTTTAGATTTGGCTCACCACTCTCCAAAAATTCTGCACACACACCTTCCCTCAAAATTTCGAAAAAATTCAAATTTCTGCATGTTTCGACGACAAATAATATCGGTTCAACATCCATGTGTTTTATTGGATTCTCTTGCACGTCGAAGAACATCCCGTTTGTACTTGTTGCAGTTTTCATCCGACACAAGGTGAAGTTAGACTCGGCCATGCAAAAGAGGACGCCGAGGTCCAGCCGAAGTTAATTGTTGAGTTGACACAAAGACCACCCGTTCTAGAAAATGCCCCAATCGAAGGGAGGCATGTACAGTAGTAGGGGTTGTTCAAGTCTTTGCCGTGATGAGTATTGAGGAACAACGTACGTACCGGTTTCGCATCGGCGTACATCTTAGTTATTTCCCGCGCAAAAGAGAAAATCACAACCAATCAAGAGTCCACAAGAATGTAAAACTACAGTTCAGATCCATCCACATTGTTTTTGAGGCCCGATCGTTTAATCGGCGCAGGACAAAATGATGATTCCCCCCCCGCCATCCCATGGTTTTCAACCTATCGTATGGTCATACCTAGAGCCAAACACGTTTAGATTGCACACGTTGTCTGTCGATAGGCTCGGCCTTAATACCCAGGAAAATTCCGGCCTGCTTTTGGCAACATTAACGTTGAACCTTCATCCTACCACAGCAGTGTGGTGCGACATCGGAAATGAAACCCGCGCGAAAATCCCATCCGCATGCTCCTGAAGATTCAGACTGGTTGAGCGAGCGGTGTGATCCATGCATGGGGAAGATGCACTGTCTCCAACGGATACCGGCGGGCAGAAAGCAGACAGCAGCAAGCAAGAATAACGACAGAAGAACTAAATCCAGACGTACATCCAACAATCACGAAACGTTTTCGAAAACCTCAAGGGAGGGCAAGAAGAGTGTCACTCACCCCCCCGCGCGCACGCCGTGTGTGCAGCAAGCCTGACCAAATCTCGGGCCGTTCCATGCTCAACTCCCCCCGTGCAAAACACGATGTATGTGATGACAGCACTCATTTCTTCAACCTGCCCCATAGACCTAGACTAAATGTCGACCAACGACAGCACGAGACCTTACCACAAAATAAAATCGTGTGCAGCTCACGCCCTTTTTCCACGCTTCCAACCCATCTTCCGGCCAAAAACAACGCCACGCGTATGGCGTACGATGATCGTTCACAACAAAATATTAGCGATGAAGCCAGGGAAGCTAGGGCTCTCGTGGACGAAGGCCTTGCCTACCATTCTGCTCCAGGCCTCTCAGGAAATCTTATCCAACCCCCCGCTAACCGCCCGCCCCCCCCCGACCACCCCCATCAGTTGAGACAAACAAACGCGCCTTCTAGACGGCACAACAAAAACAATCCTAACAAAAAAAATCGGAATGGGGGTCGGGGGAGACAGAGAACATACCTTCGGCGCTTCCCTCGGTAACTGTAGCTTAAAAGAGACACAAAAGAAGCCGGAAAAGAGGTAGAAGAAGAAGAAGCCTTGCAGGCATGCAGGCTTCGTACGCCGAAACAACAGCATGCAATTCTAACGCGGCGAACAACATCCAACAGCAGCAGCAGCAGTAAACAGACGTGGCGTCACATGGGTGACAATGGCAGCAGCAGCGGCCATCTCTCCCCTCCCCGCCCCCCCCCCCTCTTATTAGGCGTATTCGTACTCGTCGAGACCTTCGTCGGCGCCGTAGAACTCGTCAAGGAAGTCTTCGTCGTCATCGTCCTCCTCCTCCTCCCAGAAGTTCCCTCGTCTGCGACTCATGTACTCCTCGTCCGCCTGCGGAAGCCCAAGCCTGTTCAGCAGCTCTCGGTTTTCATACACGGGGTGGAACTCGTACGGGTCCTGGGAGGATGGCGTGGGGAGGGAGGGGGGAAGGGAGTTTAGGAATCCCGGCTGGGTTTCGGTGGTTGGGAACCAGTCGACTGACATTTGTGACGAAAATGAATAAGTTGGCAACACCCGTTCAAAACAAAACAAATTGTTCCACATCCAGCAACATGGTGGACGATGCCCGACTAGTTTTGGGAACCAAATGAAAGGGTGAGTCAGCAAAATCATCAACCAACCCGGCAGTACATGCAGATCGACACATCCAGCTGAAGGTCCAAACCACCCCCAAACACCTCCCGTCGGATCATAAACTTCCCCCCCCCCCCCGGTGCTCCCCTTAGATGTTTGCCATCGGGGTTGGGTTTCATCTCTTGGCAGAGATGTTGTAAAACAAGCCGATTCACTTCGTGAGCTCGGCAACCAGGTTACCGCTTCTTTTTTTTTGCCTATGGTTTTTTCTTTCTGCGGTAACCATGAATGGTGGTCAAGTAGATCATGTTGTGCGGAGTTGAGAACCCTCACTCCGCGCAAAGGGGATATTCGCACGTTGTGTTGAATTGGCCAAACACCCTAGAGGCAGTTACACAGAGCTTACAACTGTCGCTGGAAGTGACAGCACCAAAAAATAAATTAAGTCATACGCAGCTGTCATCCGTACGCAAGGAAGTAAGCACAAGATGCCGAACACCCTTAGCAGGATGCAGCGCACCCTTCATGCGACTCGCCGAATACCTCACGGCGCTTCGCGCTTGGTGATGTGAGAGCCTGGTCCGGTGGGAACCCGGCGTGCTCCGTCCCGGCTTTGTAGGGATGCGAGGTCAATGGTCTAGCGATTACGGCATGCACGACTATGAGTACACCCCCCCCCCCCTCTCCATCTCGTCGTCGTCTCCACCCACCCACCCACACTCACGTTAGGCCGCTCGTACAGCGTCTGGAACCGCTTGACGCTAACCGCCTCCATGCCCGTCTCGCAGGACCCCGTAATGTCGGTCTCGTACTTGCACCCGACGTGCAGACCCTGCACGAAAAGACAGGAAACAGTAACAACAACAACAACAACAACAACAGAGCACGAGTGAGTTTTGAGAGGTCGGGTCGGGAGGGAGGGCAGCGAGGATCCAAGCGTCGAGAAACGAGCGCAATCAAGCAGCTACAGAAACGGTCGAACAATTGAGACGAGGGGTGTAGACCACACCGCTGTGACCTTGGCACCATGGCCGTACTCCGTGTTGAACGGGCCAAACATCTGGGGGGGGCAAGCTACTTGGCACTCGGACGGAAAACAATGTTGTGGCATTGGAGTGCAAAGTGTAACAACAAAACGTGATAGAGTGGACAGGAGGGGCACCCAGAGCAAGCGTAGGAGGATTAAGCAAGAGGGTTGGCATGGGTTCCAAAAGCGAAAAAAGTTACGTACGTCACGCGATGCATCGCCAGCCGTATACCGAGCGTCAAAGCAGACTCGACAAAACTGTCCC